AGAACACACACTTTTACACAGAATTTAAATAAACTTTAACACGTTACTTACACTGTAAGCTTTGGTGTTAATGCTGTCTTAATGCTTAGATGGTCTAAGCCCTTCCAATCCTATATTAAAAACTTATATAAATATAAGCAAACATCTATATTTGCAGAGAGGTGAATTTTAAACGCTAGAGGTACCTCAGTTTAATCTCAATTAAGGTAAGAAGAATTCGGGCATCTTTTTGGTATGGAACAGTCTATCATCCCACTAGTTACGTCTCGCGGAGATGGAGATGATTTTAAAGGTGAACTTCGTGAACCATTTGTTATTAAGAAGTTTTTATACATTTTAGTTTTCATTCGAGAGGGGATCCTGTCTTTATCTTATTATAGCTTATATTTGTGTCAGCATGGCCTGAAAGATTTTACCTATTAAAAAAGGTAAAATGAATTTCGTAATTATACGAGTTCGTATGTTAAAGAGGTTTTAGCTACGAGACACAACTTGTTAACATATATGATTGATTGAAATAGTTTCACCAAAGTCGTCTTCGACTTGAAGTTGGGAATCGAGTCTTTTTCTTCTCTTTCTGCTAACCAAACCTTTCTAAAACTGGACACAAGTTCTTAAACATCACATTTCTATTGTTTTCCTAATACCACCGCCAATACCATTGCAACGTTTACCAGCATTTGTCTCCCTGACTTGAATTTGTTTGTTCGGAAACGGAATCACGTCTTTTACAAAGCATGACTTCTCGATCTACTTTAATATCTTCGAACAAGTACTTCTAGCTGACTTTTTTTTTTTTTCTAGATTTTTCAGTAATTTAAGTTTCTTTCTTCATGTGCCAGACGTTAAAAAAAAAAAACAACAACGCAAAGACCGACATCTCTTTGGGCTGAAGTTACACTGATAGTAAAAGTAGTGTCTGTGCAACCCAGAATAGCCTGAAACACTTAAATGATCAAATACAACTCCCTTTTTAAAGATGTGTACTTACCTTGCACGTAAGTAAGACGCTGATCCAAACTCTTGACCAACTGAACGACGTTGAAGTGTCCCACTCTTTTGAACACGTCTGATATAGCCACACCTCCCAAAAGAACCAATCACACTTATTTTATTTTAGGTAGAGTTCAAGTCTAATTGCGATCTGCATTTCCATACTAGTTACCGATGAATTCTTTTGAAAACAATTATAGCAGTCTAGTCACGAAACAATCAGTCACTGAAGATGGAGAACTTATTGGGGTAAACACTGTGCAATTAAGATTTCATTGTGACTGCTGACGGTGTTTTTAACAGCAGTTTTATAAAAATAAAAAGATAACGGAAGAAAGATGATGTTTACACACTACGATATAATCCTGAAGTCTTCATTACCCTCCATAGAGAAAAAAGTCTTATAACTACGAAATTTTACATTTAAACAACTTTTTTTTCTGTAAAACATATTTTATGATCGCTTGCGTAGGTTCCATGAAGTTTACATTGAAATAACTCATTCACAGGAGGTACCTGTCGTAACCAGTGGCAACAGCTACGAATTCAAAGAACTTTCCTTGAGGCATTTGTGGCTGTAGGGCTTGTTTCATCCTGCCGGTATACTAATCACAACTCGATGAACCTCCAAAGAACCAATAATCATGCAAATTATTTCACAAGGGGGTAGATGTATAAGTTAAAAATTCTATGGGCATTTTCAAACTCAGAGTATCTCTATGGCTACCAGTGAACGTACTTCGGTAAAACGGCTCAGGGGTCATTTTGCGATTTAAGGGGAAACATTTTGTTAGAATCAACTGTGTTAAGATTGGAAACACGTCAAAGCCTTTGATAATCTGCTGGCGTAGTAGTATCGTCTACACTAGGAGATAGTTTAGGACATTCCTTTGTCTTTATGTAAAAACAGCCTCTTATAACTTAAAACATTTTCGCAAAATATTTGAAATAATTGTGTGCGAATTCTCGAATCTTGAAGTGAATTTTACATTGAAAAAACAAATTTCTATAGATAACGTAAGTTATTTGTCGTAGCCAGCGGCAATTACCAGTTCGAATAACTTTTCTTGAACGCTTGGGATGAGTTTCTTAGGCATTCGTTGCTGCGGGGCTTGCTTCCTCGTGTGATAAAAACTTGCCAATCCCCCAAAGAAGAAGTGAATTGATCATAATCATAATTAAACGACAAGGGGTGAATACTCTAAGACAAATAATAATAATAAAGATCGCTTATTAAAAAAAACTTTAATGTGGTGGTTTAAAGGAAGCAGGATTTTGGTTCCCAGGGTTTTCAGCTGCAGGATTCTTTCAAAAATAATTTCCCGCGCCTTTGCGCCACATTTCAAGTAAAGTGTTTGACTGCTTGGGCATGCTATAGCAGATTTATTCTTAACTGAATCTCATTTATTCTCTTTTCCTCAAAATTTCAGTGCTGTACTTCAAAAAGTAATGGCTGTGTTCTGAACCAAAGAAAAGTGTTTCAACAGCCATGGAATTTACAGACGGGCTGTACAACTATCAATGACTTGTCTAAAATTTCTGGCTTATTTAATTAATAATGGCAATTGGCGTTCAATTGGGCCTGCTATTATTTGACCATACGTGCTTAGATAAAATCATACACCACTTGGCAGACAAATAATTGAACGGCCCAAATTCCTGCATCCTCGGAGACCCAGGGACTAACTGCCCCTGGGTCTCCGAGGATGAAATTCCTGTTGCTAAGTTATCATAAAGACGTCTTGGACTCTATACATGTTCTGACGCGGGTTTGAACATTGTTGGTCGATCTAAGAGGCTCTTGTTATATGCTGGATCAAGTTTATATCTTCAGTTTTCCTGCTACAATATCATACAAAATTTCTCTCAATGACTTGTAGGTTGGATCATCATTTACCATCTTGGCACCGCTGTTGGCAGCGTTTGCAAAAACGTTAGATGCACGCACACGCCATTTAAAACTTCGTCTGCGTGGTTATTTGACAAGCCAAACGTAATAATATCCTTAAACGCGCGTTTTCCATTTTGGGCCAAACAGTGAGCCCAGAATTCGCTTCGACGGAGCAAAGACCAGCATAAGAAAAAAAAAAACTAAAAACCTCTCTGGGCTACTTTTATTGATTAACCAACTGTGAATTTAAATTTAAGATATACTGAAGATATTTTTTCTCACTTTTATTCATATACTGCAGATATTTTTTTATCAATTTTATTCATTCAAAAATAAATCAGAAAAAATAAAACAATGACTATTTATGAAAAAGTGATAAAGATTAAGAAAAATCTTTACAACGAAAATATATAAAGCATCAGCTTCTTCTGATGTTGACATTAAAAGCTGGCTTAAGACCTTGAAAAAACAATGTTTCCTTTATTTTACAGTGATACTCCGGCCGTGCCCGACGCTAAAATTTGAAAAAATTATCCCAATGACTACTAAACCGTTGTCAGTCGTTTTCATAACGCGCACTGCGGGAGAATGGTATTTTGGGAAGGGAGAACAGAACAAAAACGTCATCTCCCTTCCTCGCTTTCCTTCTTCCTATAACAGCCTGCGCGCCACAAGGGAAAGGTAACTAGCGCGAGTCAGGGTCAGGGTCTAATGTATAGGCCTTTTTGCAGCTGGGGTTCACGTGAACTATCTCAGTCCATAAGTATGGTATACTGCTAAAAAATACCAGACACTGAAAGACAAATAAATGTCTAAATGCTGGCCTAGAATAGTCTAGTACATGCTAAAACAATACAAGTCAGGCTCCTGAGGGTAATGAATAGCGAGTAACGGATCAATGAAAAATAAAATAAAAGGTGTTGGAATAATGATAATCTATAGAAGTGGTTTCTTTTGTAACGCCAAAGCAACTATTAGAGAGCTTTAGATTTGAGGAAGACAACGAGTACGAGATTTAACTTAAAGTTTTTGCGTGTGTTCTAAAAAAAAGACACCCCGGAAAGCTTCATTTTACTTTTTTTTCACCAAAAAAGTTAGTTCCGGGTTATTTATACTGAAGACGTTTAAGCCCTCTCCCGATAGCAAAATGATAAAAATTTTTCCCGCCATTACGACATTCTCGCTAAAACTCGCGTAGTAGAATGACGACGGCTACCAGGTTTTTCCCGCGCCAAAATGACGCTGGTTCACGCGTGCACAATACTCAGTATTGAGAAAATCCCCGAACTCCACCCCAGTACTCACGCTATCTCAGAATCTAAAGCTTTCTATTACAACAATTAGTTAGATCAGCGACAAATACGTCGATCTCACCCCATGTACGAGAATCCAGGACAGTCTTGGATTCTGGATTCCAGGCCGCGGATTCCGGATTCTAAGCTCTAGATTCTTGTTTTGGCAGTGGAACTTGGATTCTGAATTCCAATCGTCAGTGGGATTCTGGATTCCTTGAGACATATTCCGGACTCCAAAGCCCAGGATACGGGACTCCACAAGCAAAATTTTCCCGGATTCCGGAACCCGCATTCCCTTCCACGGGGTGATCGTTCTTTTTTTCTGGCTCCTACAAAGGGCTTCGAAAGGTAATACTAACAGTCATTTGTGGTTTTAGCACAGGGCACCCACATTCACAACAGCCTCCTCGACGCCAAATTTCAAGAATTTGAGTGGAAATTCACCGTTAGATCGATAAGGTAGTTAAAATCTACATAAACAGCCATTAAAGTATAGATACCTCGTAAAGAGTCGAGTCTGTGTTGTTTTCTTAATGTTTCCTGCCCTACAAACGCCATTTGAGCAAGTTTGGAGACACCAAAACTTGCTATTTATAGGGCCGGAAACAATAAGAAAACAACACACTTAGACACAACTCGTTATGAGGTATGTTCCCTTTAATGGCTGTTTATGTGCATTTTAGCCGTTTTCTCGATCTGACGATAAATTCCCGAAAGAAATCCTTATAATTTGGCTTCCAGTAGGCTGTTGTGAGTCTGGTGGCCCTGTGGTTATAACACCCATGCAAAGGTTCCACAAGTATCCCTATCTTACCCAGAGTTTACTCTAAAATATGTCGCAGTTTTTGTACAAGCATTTCACATTGTGTCTCCCATTTATACTTTTCGTCATAGGCCTCTCGGAGAGAGCAAGCTTCCTCTAGCCTGAGTTTCCTTGTTGTCTGTCTAACACGTTTAATGGCTTCAGCCCACTTTTCAGGATCATCGGAACAAACCACACATGAAGATCCGAATTTTACATCGCGAATAGCTTTTCCGAATCCCGAATTGTTACCCACCAAAATAGGAAGGCCAGCTGAAAGTGCTTCGAGAGCGGTGAGGCCAAAACCTTCCGTTCGTGAAGGCATAATGGCGAGATCCACTGTGAGCAAGAGATCTTTTATTTCGTCGCGATTCTCAGCAAATTTTCGAACAGTTAACTGTGTGCGAGGAATGCCACACTTCAGCAACCTGTTTTTAACTTCTTCTTCTTTACCTTTTGGTGCCCCGACAAAGTGAAGAAGGTAGTTTTCGTCTTTTAAGCTTGCTACAGCTTGAGCAGCTATATCGTATCCTTTTAGTTCAGCGTCTTCCAAGTTGCCGCGACCAAACACCAAGATGTGGAACTTTTCCCTCTCCTGTCTGGCTTGCACCAACTGCGCGAACTCAGAGAAAATTCCAGGTGTGATATTTATCACGTGTTCATCTCTGCCGTGCGGCCGCAGGTAGGCTGAGATAGCTTCCTTCAGCTTTGGTCCAATGGTCACGATGACATCAGCTTCCTTACACAAATCTATTTCAGTTCGGTGCTTTTCCTCGCCTTCAGGTAGCGCTGTTTCGCCTTCCTTAAACATTGCAAGCTCTTCACTGGCAGTGTGTACTATATGAACTCGTTTGCACTTGTGCCTTTTAGCTATGACCTGAGCTGGTGCTCCAAGCTTCTGACCATGGCCTATGACGACGTCAATATCTAGATCATCTGAGGGAAAGCACAGCCGCATAATGGGATCCGACACGGGCATCGCCCGTGCTTTGGCAAGACGCACATTAAATTCACCAGCTTCGTGCTCCTCCTTTTCACTGTAATTAAGCAGGAGACAGGTTACTTCTACTTCAGGCTGGCGTGCCAGGTGTTTTGCTAATTCTCTGTTCAGCGTAGAAAGTCCACCTTTTGATGAACCCCATTCGTCTCCCACAGAAGTTACCCTCAAAGGTCTCCTTGCCTGTAGAGAATTTGAAGCTCCGCCATCTGCGTTATCCTAAAACAGAAAAGGGAATACTGTATCAGCACTGGCCAACTATTAACAAACACAATGGCGCAGTTAAAATTAATGTTATAAAACCAAAATTTGCTTGGGCGAAATGAAATTTGAAGTTCAAATACGTCCGTCGGAGTTATTTTTGCTCCATAGAAAGCCACTTGCTGAATTATTGTGGGAATAGCCTGCACCACAGAGAGAGCACACGTGAATTCTAAGGGTACTTATCGTTGATTAGATAGAATGATGTAGAAAATAATAGTGCTTGCTTCGCACCTACAGAATGGCTCCCATCTATTACAGGGGGCCTACTCTGTCAGACCCGCCCACGCATGGCATCGTTACCCAATTACTGATACTCAGGCTTTTATAACTTTTACCCTTTTAATTATTTATTCTGTGTAAATTGAGAAACCCATCTAATTAACAACAACCATACTCTACTAACCAGGTACACTTGGATACTAATAAGCATACGCTAATCCTATGCTAAAATGGTCTATGATCTGACAGACGTTCAGATAATCTATGCTAAACCACTGTCGTATAATCACTTTAGCTGTAACTGAATTTTTTTTTTAAAAATCTAATCGGCAGCCATTTCCTGAAAAAAACCCTGACGAATTATACGGAAATAAACTTCAGTTTGTCAGTTTTCTGATGGTTTACCGTGATAACAGAAAAACTTCAAAAGCACTAAAAAGTTTGTGAAGTCCAATACAGTTCTGAAATTTCAAGAAACAACTGATCACTTTCCTATGAACTCTGAATTATTGCAGCGATTTAGCATAACGAAATTAATGTGCTTTTCACTCAAAGGGCGAAAACAGTAATCAAATAAATGCCCAAACTCCAAACATTACGCTCGGCTTACCGAATACAGCGAAAGATTCCCTCCTGTGGATTTTAAATTTTGGGGAAATTCGACTGCAACAAGGCCTTCATTTTTCACCAAAGGGACTTGGAATTCAGACGTAGAAGGAAGACTGTCATCTGACGGGCTGTTATAACACAAAAGAAAAATATTCAAGTGGTATTCTTAAAGTTCTCATATATAATGAATAAAGGGGTTGGTTTAAAAAAAAATGCGGTGGTGGTATTTTACCAGCTGAGCAAGATATTCGGCTTCTATAGCTTTTAAGAATGCTAAATGTTTCATGTACTTTGCAATACCTTCAACAAAGGCGGCAACAAGCGACACCTTGCTACTATAATAGTAGCAAACTTAAAAGTTTGTAAGTGAGGTCGACACAAGGATTAAGCACCTAAGATGTCTGAAAGCACTCGACATATTTATTATATGGACAAAAATTTTGTTTTATCAACTAGTTGATAAACTTAATTTGTCGCTTTAAGGAAATTTAAACGCTGCCGTTTCGAAGGCGCTAGACCTTTGTGAGAGCAAATCAAATGATAGCAAATAAGCTATCAAGCAATCTCTTTCCTGGGCAGATAACATAAATGTTGTACTTAGGTCACAAATAAGAAGCACAGTTGAGCAAACATACTACCTAATACCACATTATAACAACGGGTTGGAACGAATCCACTCAATACTGCCTTTAGGAAAGTGATCTCACAATTACTAACCTTGCCCCAAAGGGGAGCACCCAAGAGTCAGTAGAATACTCTTGAACCAAGTAAGAGAACAAAGAACTGAAAGCAATAGCTACTGTTATCACTGCTCCTTAAGAGAGAGCTCTTACAAGTGATTGCGTTCGACGTTAGGAGAACGAAACACGTAATCTTGGGATTCCTGTAGTACTCGAGGGGTGACCTTTGTGGTACTCATTTCGTCGGGCGTCTGCATTTTTTGCGCCATCTTGAATAATTTATCTTATGATTACTCATGAGAATCATAATTTATCTCACGATTAGTCCCAGTTATAGTAATAAACTAGTTACTTACTTCTGCCTTTTCCTCTCTCCTTCCAAGCCTACTACTTGTCCCTGCTGGCTACGTTTATTGATTTTCTGTGGCAATTCTTGTTCTTTTGTGATCTCATCTCCCTCAGCGCTGCCGATACTGTCACTGGTTTCATTTTTACCGCTGGCATCACTCGCATCATCACCACCATCTTGACCGCTATGACTGTCATCATCGCTAAAATCATCGGAATCATCATCGTCATCATCATCGTCACTTCTTTCGTTGTTGTCATCATCGTCAGGACACTGTTCTGTTGAAATTAAAAGTGAAGGTGAAATAACTATTTAAAATCCAAAACAATTTTCATTAAAAGGGTTTTTGGTAAAAGATCTTCCTGTAGTGTTGTTAGCAATTAAGGAGCCGTGTGAAAATTAGAAAGAAGCAAATCCTGAATACAATAAAAACACAGATTGACGATAGATTTTGTTGTTTAGTTATTTATTCTTTGCTATAAAATCCTTCATTGAAAAATTTGAATCGGTCAACATGGCCAGAATTTAGTTTTTCTTTTTTTATGCACGCTCTAACAAAATGCATTTGAAACAGTTTAGCAGGTAAAATAAAGGTTTCCTTTCATCGTAAAGCAAAGGCAGCGTCTTCTTCTTAAAAAAACAACAATGAAATAATGAAATGATGATTATAATGATGGGTAGATTACAAATGTAATGTGTGTTCACCAGAATTGGGATAAATCAATATTTTGCCAGCACGAGTTCCATTGTTGCGTGGGAGGGGTCGCAGTCCGGGGCTTTGATTTAGTAACCGTCTTGTTAATTGTGTCTTCTAAGGTCAGCCTCGCCACGTCAAATTGTTTCGTGAAACTTAGTTTCAGTTGTTCTATCAGTCTGAATTTCGTTTCCAGCTGGACTAGTAACTATGCTTCTTAGCTGCTTTAATTCTGCATTCTATGCATGTTATAACGGCTATTTTTCATTAGTTTGGCCTTACAACCCGAGGCGATGGGATAGGTTCAGGGTACACGGTCCATATTTTTTCCAATAGTTGTCCCGTCGTAAATATTGAAATTTCTGTAACAAGGGAGGATTTATGTGAGTTAATAAAGTATATCATGGGCCTGGTTAACCAAAGCGCCCATGCCTCCAAGTGTTGTTTGTGCCACGTGTTTGAATACAGCTTTTTTACTTCAGCAAAACAACTTAAATAAACTTACAATGATGATAATAATAAATGATATAATACCTGATGCCCCGAACGGAAATGTTCCCGTCTTGAATTTCTAAATGAAAGGCAAAATAAGTTTCTTTAGAGGGTCTTTAGAATATTCTCAATTTAGTACATGGCTTTTATTTCTTTAAAATGTCGTCTTAAAGCCTTTAAAACAACGTCATCGTTCTGTACCTTAAAAATTGATTGAGCCTTGATTTTTCAAGTGTGTTATTTACTGTTGTTTGTAATCCATGTTAATCCTCTATCTTAAACTATTAAATTTAGTACGTCTATGTTACCAACGGAACTAATATTTTCAAGTGTTCTTCAATTTTAAGATATGCTTGTACGTTGAAAGACAACTCAAAGTTCCGTGAACGAGCTCTTTAAAGAGACAGCTGTGAGCTAAAAAACAGAAGTGACTGTTTTCTGCTTGAACTTAAGCATGTCTGTCTTACCTGCTCAAGACTTTTGTACATGTCTGCCTTCCTCGTATATGCAATTGCAAGTGATGTGGTCAAATTCTGTAGTGTGGTGAGCAGCTCAGTTCTTTCCCATTGTTCCATCTCTGAACTGTTCTTTTTCCACATTTCGTCGTAGAATCTAAAGGAATCCTCTAGATATTTGTTAAACAGTGCCTCATTTTTAGCCTGCTTGCACAACCTTAACAAAGTTTGTAAGATGTGTTCTCTCTGCTCGTAAGGCAAGCTCTTGGTGTCCGGGGAATTCCATGCTCCTTCGTAAAACCAAAGAGCTTCATTTTGATATTTCTTCCTTGTCTTGAAATCAACCTCTTCCCCAAGCCGTTCGTTTATAGCATCGATGATGTGCATATTGGCCTGAGAGAACGGAAACCCTTCAAAACTTTTCTCCTCGTCCCATAATCTTTGATAAAACTCCAAGACTTCTTTCTGAAATGCCCTCTTTCTCCCTTTGGGAAGCATCCCCTCATAACTTTTAATGATTCTGTCCCGTACTTCACTGTGGTTCCCTTGCCCTAGTGATTTCTCAATCTCCCATGCTTCTTCGTAGTATTTTTCAGCTTCATCATAATCCTCAAGACTTCGGGAATTTTCTGCCATTTGAAAAGTGCTACGCGCAGTCAATGGATGTTTGCCAAGAATGTCTTTCCGAATCTGATACCCGTTATAAGCAAATGTTTTTGCCTCCTCAAACTCCATAAGCCATGAGCGAGCGTTAGCAATGTTTCTGTTAAAAAGTGCTGTGTATAAAATACCTTTGAGATTGAGTTCCTTGGCTAGATCTAAAGCCTCTTGATAGTATTCTATAGCTTTGCGGAAATTCTCCTTGGCAACAGGTGTCATTCTGTGTTTTTTGTACTCTTGAATGGCCATGCTTTCATAAGCTGTTCCAATTTGACTTCTGAAAAGAGGCAAGTCAAAGTGCTCCTTTGAACCTGAAAGATCTTGACGCATTTCGTATGCTCTTGTGTAAAACTTAATCGCTTCCTCTGGTTTCCCGAGATTGCTGTAGCAATTTCCAATGGCATTCAAACATCTGCAAGTGCTTGTGTGATTTCTTAATAGGTTTTCTATTATTTCTAAGGAACTACTCAAACGTTTAAGTGCTTTTGGACAATTCCCTGCTCGGTTGAAGACTTCCCCTTCAACAAAAAGACAAGAGCTTTTCGCGAGCTTGAAGAGCTCAGTCTCTTTGCTCTCTCTCTGGACCCTCTTCAGCAACTCCCTGGCCTCTTGAACAACTTTCGCAGCCTTATGCCATCCTTCAAGATTGAGTACCTGCAAAGCTTCCCAGCAGCGCATTTCTGCTCGAAACATAGAGCCTATCGAGAAAAAGAAACAAGATAAAAGTAACAACGTGTCCATCTGGTAACTGTGGAGTCCTGAGAACAAAATAAATGAACTTAACTCTACAATAAACCTGTTAGGCATGTATTACGTCGCCACAGCTGCAGCTAGAGCTAACATGCAGCATGCAGTGTTCTAATGTAATATATAGATTAAGCCAAGAACAAAAGCGAAGCTCAGGAGGGATCTTTTGATGAATGTCTTTCTAAAGTAACTCAACTTTTGCTGTAAGCAGAAAGCAAACTGAATTCCACCTTTAAAAATGGACCTGAGCCCACGATCAATTGAAACCAAAACCTGGTCAGCTGATAACTTTAAAAAACACGTCACCTCAATTTGTTGTATACCTGAGCCCGCGATACAGTCATATGACACTGGTTAGCGGATATCTTTTTTGACAGGTATCAACTGACCATAACGTGGATTTAAACACAAAAATATAGACACAAATAGCAAAACAACAAAGAGAAAAGCGACTTGAAGTTTCAAGCCGCTTTTCTCTTTGCTGTTTTGTTATTTATGTCTATATTTTCGTCTTGGATAAAACAGCAGGATTTGGCTGTCGTCATTTTATATAAAAAGTTTAAACACAAAAAGTGTGCCTTGGACTTCTAACTATTATAGTAAGTGTGCCATTTTACATCCGCTAACATGAAGGGATGAACGTACATACGTCATACCTTATTACATGACATTTTGTCGACCTGTTTATTTCGCGATTTTGATGTGCGCATACTTCGCGCTGAGGAGGTTTGGGAATCCAGTAGAGGTGACAGTAAGAATGGAAACATCTTCAAAGAACATGGAAGCCACTAAGAGATAAGCAGCTACTAGAACAGCATTACAGGGAGCGAGTTAAATGGACAGTTCAGGGGCACCCAACGTCAATTTTCGGAAAATATCTGTTCGGAAGACGATTTGAGATCTAGAATTTTCGGAACATTTTTTGTAAAATTTCTTGTTTGCCTACCTCTCCTAGGATTTTCGAACATCTAAAAATTGGTGTAATTGCCCATTTTTAACGGATTTTTAGCCTAAAAAGCTCACCTAGAATTTTCGGGAGCCTTTTTCTGGCTGAAATTTTCGAAAAGGTAAGTTTTGATCCCTGTGATTTTCGGATCTCGAGACTTTCAGCTAGGAAATCCGAACAGATGAAAAATTTTTAGGGGATAAAAATATGCCTACATCTACCGTTTAAATACTAAAATACGTTTACAATGCTATGTTTAAGTGGTTTTGAACTACATTCTCGTTGGGTGCCCCTGACAGTTTGGAGACTGTACAAAAGAAATGTTACCTGGAGGGAGATAGAAAGCAGTAGCGATGAGGATGACCAAGACATTGCTCAGAACAGTAAAAAAAAAGTGTGATTTTGTAAACGTTTCAGTGGTGATAAACTCGTTCTTTCTTGATTTTTGACATAATGTGAGTCACTTAATTTTCGTGTCATGTTATGTTCGCCACATTAACGTGTCGCGAAAATTTCAGGTAATAAGGTACGTACGCAAGGACGGACGATTTTCTCAGATACATAGATAACCAAATTTTCTTACCACTAAATGGTGCTCCGCTGCGCGCGAGGAGAGCTCCGCTATGAAGCAATCTAGTGCCGGTTCAAAAATCCCCAATCGACGGGGATTAGTTATGACTCAGGAAGAGCAAATTATCGTTTTTCACGAACACTTAAAATTAAGTTCCTTGCTGGGATTAATTTGGTTCTGTCATTTAGCGATACAAATCATTTAATTTAAAACGGAAAAACTGTGTCTTATTATTTTAATCGCTGGAACGTTAACAACTACCTACATTAACTGGATGGATTTCCAAATAGAAGACAATCCTCACCTTGTTTTCCATCTTCCTCGACCTTTTCAGCCCAGGCATGAAAAATCGTCCTTCTTCGCTTTTGATCAATAAGCGTGGCTTCAAGTAGGTAACAAATTCTGACGATTTCAGTATTTTTCATTGGAATCATAAAATGACTGGACTTCAACGAAAGTTCCAGGGCAAGTTCAAAGTTGTGTCTGTCAAAATCAAAGGTGTCAAAAGCCTTTACATACTCCTTGTCCAAAAGGGCTGCAATTGTCTTCAACTGGGAAAGGAAATGGTTGCAAAAGTTGTCTTTTGTTTTCTGGTAAGCTTCCACGAAAGCCTTGCTATTGCCAATGCTTTTAAGAAACTTACGCATCAAAGGATGTAAATCATACAACAGTTCGTTTGCCTCTGGAACCACGGAAACCACCTGACTGTTACGCATTCCTTCCATTCTTATTGCAGCTTCCGAAACGTTTACTCCAAGTATCTTAGCTGCTACTTCCAATGAAAATGGACGGCAGAAGAGTGACACTGAAACAGCGGACTCTTTAAGCGTTTTACTCGGAAGGAAAAAGAACATTTTCCTCAAACATGACAGCTGTTCCACATCGATACCTTCTTCTTTAAAATCAAAAGTTTCTGTCTTCTCAGTCGCTTCATCTTCAGTGTCTTGAAACGGCTCCACCTCTAACTCCTGTTCAATGGTTCCAAGAAGCCTTTCTGCATCAGCTATCTCCTGTCTTAAGATTGATGCCATGCCATTGAGCAAGAGCGGCTTCCCTCTGCATATCTCGACTAGTCTCTCTCTTTGGCTACCGTGAATAGCAGGAGTCCCTTGCCTTCGAAGGAGCTCCCCCGAAGAGACCTTTTCCAAACCTTTCACTTCGTAATTTTCCACACCGTGACGAAATGCACTCCTAGACGTTAATATAATCTTCAGTGAATATTTTACTTGGCCAGTTTTGACATCGATAAGTCGTTGGAGAAAAGTGACAAAATCATCATTCAGGCTAGCGGTAGCCTTGCTGTTTCCTCCCGGAAAATGATCAACATTATCTAAAAGCAACAATATGTCCCCCTGTCCCCGTTGCCTCAACTGCCTCATTTTAATAATAACAGGATTCGCTTCATAGCTCACAGTTGTTGTCTCCTTTGATCCGATCATCAATGCCTGTAAAACTTGGAAGTGGACGTACTCCATCCTCTCTACATCTCTCAAGTCCACTTTGAATTTCATAGTTCCTTGCCACTTAGACAAAACTTCAGTTGCCAGTCTCGTTTTTCCGACACCACTTGATCCATACAGGTTCAAGATGCTTGATCCACCAGTTGTTAACTTCGACATAACATTGGCTAAGTCGCTGCGTCTTCCCGTTAACTCCCGTCTTGTCGTTGCCGTTGGCTCTTCAATCTCTTGCAAGCGGATTGCCTTGAAACCTCTAATCTTTGCCTCGATTCCCTCCTTCTTAGATGTTTGTGGGGTGACCACAAATTTCTCCAACAAAGTCAAATTGTCCTCCGACACCAGACCTTGATTTGCAAAAAGATGCAGGCATGAATATAAATCCTGGTCTCCCTTACCAGCGAACTTTCCTTTCTCAAAATTCGTTTTGATAGACGATACAGCATATTTAAGTTCTTCTGGGTTCAGATCACCGACGACATCCTTCAAAAGTTTATCAAACCGAGGAGAAATCTCTCCTGTCCTCATCGCTGCCTCAAGCGACGCCATTGTGTACTCAAAGGAGGCCAAATTTATGCATGGGCGGAAGTGTGTTATATATCAGGGGTGAACAAAATTTTTAGGAGGGGAGGGTAAAATTACGAAAAAAAAATTACGGCGCGCCATTTGTAATCTTTTCAACTTTACTCTTCTGCGAATTGATCCCTGAACGTCGTGCAGTTTTAACTGTTTTGAGATAATTATAAGAGAGTGTTTGAACTTTTCGCCAGATCCTCGCTATTAATTCACCATTTTATTTTTGTTTTCTTTCTTTATTTTTTAAATCACTCTTCCTGCCGTAAGGATCGGTTTACTGCCTTAATTTTAAAATTTGGTACTGAAGTTTTACCGATGCAGGTCTACTAAAAATCCGGCCGACCCTCACTGGTTTGTCGTTGTGGTTTTGCCTTCACAAGTGTTTCTTATACATAATATAATACAAGTAGGTTATTGGTGTTGCGGACGGGTGCGATCACTAAATGACGTAATACAACTCGGATTAAGCTGAAGCAGGACCCTGCAGGAGCCCATTAAATTTGATGGGCTCCTGGCTGAAGACACTGAACAATACCCACACCATCAAAAGTGAACCAACAATGACAACAGTGGTTTCCGCCAACACTATAAAACATCCATAGTACAACCTTGTTTTCTCTCCCCCTCAGTCCCCCCCCCCAGAGTAATATATATGATAAAAGATTGCATACCATTGTTTCAAATTTCTCCTGCGTATCAGAAAACAATGTTTATGCAAAATTTTGTTTTAATAGCTAATTTTGTATCACTAAATCGCCCCTACAGCCTGTGAATAAGCATTTTTGGGGTCCGCAGAAAGTCAATAAACCGTGCATTTCGCGGTGGGGATATAATTATGATAAAAGATTGAATACCATTTTTTCAAATTTCTTCTGCGTATAAGAAAACAATGTTTATTCAAAATTTTGTTTTAATAGGTAATTTTGTATCACTAAATCGCCCCTACAGCCTGTGAATAAGCATTTTTGGGGTCCGCAGAAAGTCAATAAACCGTGCATTTCGGGGTGGGGATGCAGCGGGGGAGGGGGGGGGGTCTCCCTTACATAGCCTTCACGGTGATGTGCCGCTGGACAGGGTATGATTTTTTACCTCTGTCCTAGACAGGGTATATAATGTCGTTTGAAACATGGATAGAAAGCTATGAAATGAGCGGCGTTCAAAAAATCTTCGAGGCCTTTGACGCTATGCGCCTCGTGTTGTATGTTTATCGTTATCGTATCTGTACTGCAGCTTTTAATATTTATAGCCTAATAAAGCAGCATTGACCTGCCTAAGGGTTCTGAATAGCCCACGCTCGATAAATTACATGACATTAAATTTTAACATGCCTCGCGACGCTTTATGGCCATTTTTCTATATTTAGTATGGTTTTCTTTCTCTTCAGGGAATTGCAAGACAAAGGGGACGTGAAATATTTGCACTTTGTCCCTGAAGCCTGGGATTCATGTTACAATTTTAATTTATCGAACGTGGGCTCTTCAATAGAGTGTTTTCACTCACGTGGCCAGCATCTATGCAAATTTATTGGAACAAAAGAAAGCGTTTGCATAAGAAAGGAACTCAACTCCCACAGGTCTGGTTTGGGACACCAACATGGCCGCCGTGAAAACACTCTATAACGTCTTAGGGAGGTTGAATGGGAGGTTGGGGAAAAGGAAAAACGAAAGCGCGCGTGGGGCGATTGGATGGGGAAGAGACTTTTTTCCCTTTTCTCATCCCTATTTTTTTTTAAACGCAGCAGGAGCCTCTGCGCAGGAGAGCGTTTAAGAGAGAAATCGAACACTCCAATAGGCAATTCATCCCCGCATTAGATCTTGACGTTTTGTTCTGACCCAACCAAGTGTTAATCAATACTGTCATTTTAATATACGAGGAGAAAAAAAATGGTCGAAACGAGACGCGAACTTGGGACACTAACTCGGGGGGGGGGGGGGGGGCTAAGAACAAAACTGATTCATATATTAACTCCCCAGCGCTATTAGTCATGTTGTTGGCTTGCCTGGTAGTGTTTTATAAAGACTGTATTTTTGAAATAAGGAAAAAAAAAAACATGGTTTGAAAGGGCCGGCGTAATGGGAAATAAACCGGGGGGGGGGGGGGGTGCCGGGGTGGGGTACTTTAGGAATTTGTAGGTGGGGATGTGCCACTGGGACCCTGGAACCCTTAACCTGTACCAGAGCTAGTTCAGCTGAATTTTGCTACCCTCTACTAGAGTACACTCCCGAAGTCCCCCCTATCCTAGAGTAGCCGTTTTCCAGAAACTACTGAGGTCACAGCCTAGCCAAAACAAACCTTATACCATAATCCCTAGTCTAGATAAAATCTTCAACCAACTGATCAGTTTCCTTACACTTGATACCCTCAGGGTTCTATCTAGGATTTATCTTTTTGGGGAGAAGTCCCCAGTCGCCAAAAGCAACAAGCTTCCTAGGGGGGTCCTGGGGCAAGCTCCCCCACTTTAAGTTTTTTGAAATTAAACCATACCCTTCACAGCGGCATATACCTATATAGCCCACATATGGCAGTACCCCACCCCCGGGCACTAAATGTCGTTGTGTTTCATTTCGCTTGCGAGATTCTCGGCGAAGAGGAGGTGTTGGGGAGGGGGGTGGAGGGGAATGAGCGCCCCTTCCCGCTGAGAGCTTGATAACGGGCTCCGCCTTAAGGTATCGGTAAATTCGAAAATAAACCCTGGGGCTCATATTTCTTTTTGAGGGGCTTATCTATGGAGGAAAATTTGCGTTTCAAAATCGATTGGGCTGGCCCTATAGTTGGAAGGAAATGTACCGTTTTTGCTTTGTTTTATTTTTTATTTGAGGGCAATTTTCAAGTACAAGCCCCCCCCCCCGGGGGGGGCCTATATTTGGAGGGGCGATTTAACGGAGGGTTTTTTGCATTACGAGTTTGGGGGGTTTATATTTGGAGGGGCTTATTTTAAGAATTTTACGGTAGGTACGGTAAAATGGGCAACAAAATAGGTGCAATTTGTTACGGTTATCAATCAATGCTCCCATGCCTTGGCTATTAAAAATGAGTGCAAACGAAAGTGTTGAGGGAATGATTATTGTATCACGCAAAAGTTCTGCCAAAGATGGTAACACCACAGCAGACAAGGATCCACACCAGGTTTCCACCATTTTACGAAAATCAGATTTTTCATAATAAATATATTTTTTAATAAACACAGAAAAAAATCTTTCCAAGTAGAAATCTGGCCAATATCCTGTCTGAATGAATGACTCAGAAACCCAGGAAAGGGGATTTTAGGGAGTTAAAATCCACAAATTCTCCTTTGATCTTGATAGAAAATATCGGGAAGATATCTAGGAAAATATCTAGGAAGACTGAAGGAGACTCTGCTCACAGGGTAGCCCCCAGACCCCACTAGAAGCTTACGCCTTCGGCGCTCAGGTAGGAAATCGGTCCGTATTTAACCTAGATTTGCTCCTGCATAGGATTTCATTCACAGGTCTCAGATACCCGGTCTACAAACTATGCTCTTACTTGGCATGCCCACCAATGAAGGACATTTAATTTCGTCTTCTAATTTTACCTCGGTTGAAGTCAGCCCTTCAACTGTATTAATATATAGACAACCAACAAGAAAGCGAGGTAAGGCAAATCGACCGTGACTTTGAGTTTATCTCAGCTTTGGCCAACATTTAAAACCAACTAAACATGTTCAATAATTTAACTAAGTTTTAAGAAAATGAAAAGCAGCTATGAAAACCTAGAACACAGGCTTTTACACGGAATCCAAATTAACTTTAACACGTTATGTAATTGTACTAAATTTGCAATCAATAAAAGTACAATAAGCAGTTTTTATAAAGAAAACAAATTTAAACCAGGTTAAACTAAACAGCTTTTAAACATGTTTAAGTCAGATTTGGTGTGGATGGGGTTTTAGTCTCTGAGGGAAAGTCAGTGCAAGAGAAAAAGACCACATGTTTTCTCAATTCAGGAGAGGGTGCAGCTAGGGCCCAGAATGGCAAAAAGTTGATGACACAGAGATCTGAAAACTATCTTTAAAAACCCAAAGATGGATGACTGTTTTCCTTTCTCTGTCAGTGTACATACCCGTATGCAAGGATAATTTATTGAAATTAGCTTATGCTGAACTTGGTAATGTAGCCCTCTCCGCTAGGCCTGTTCCAGCAAATAAAACAACATATATTTAATATGGTGACAAGACTTTGTAGAGTTCTTTGGATCCCTTTCCAACTCTAAGAAAGCCTTTCTTTAAAAAATTAAGTTGCTTCCTGCTAAAATGGTACTTCCGTCTGTCCAAGATCTCTTTCTCAAGAAAGTTGAATAGGTTATCCACTTCGACATTGGCTAAAGAAAAACACCAAACAAACTCACAAATCTGTGCTTCAGTAAGGTTTGAAAGATTAGATGTTGAGATGGAGGAGCAGAGAAACTGAAAGAGCTCCTTGCTTGTCTTTTGTGCATTAAGAAATCCTCGCATAACCATTAACTTTTCTGAATTTGACATCTTCTGTACATCATATTTAAGCACTTGTTGTTCTGCTAAACCAAACAACTTGCTTTCTGATATGCCTGCTTTTGCAAGACTCCAGGTCACTTGACACAACGCACCGATATCAAATTCACTTGCATTTCTCAAACAAAGCTCTTCTTCAATCTTCTCTATGAAGCTGACATTTACATCTTCCCTTTGGGCAAATGTGAAGGAGTACAGAAATAAAACAAGTTCATGAGTCCTTAATTGATCCATGCCACGACTTAAAATCTCCTTCTCAGACAGGTCAAAAACTTTAGCATTCTTCATCTTCGCCTTTGCAAATGACCATACAGTTTCTATAAGTTCTCCACTTAGGAATGTTTTCAAACCTCTTGAAACAAGTGCACTGTCGAATAAATAGTAAAGCTGCTTAGTTCCTTTGCCTGCCCTGGAGAATGCCCAAAGAATCTTTACAATGTCAGCATTATTGAAGTCAAGTGCACCTCTTCGTATTATTTCACCTTGGACCAAGTTGAACAAGTCGTCGTCAAAAATTCCTTTCTTTGCAAAAGACCACACAATATCAGCAATAACACGATTGCTGACCATTAAGTTCCTTGAAACAACTTCTTTGAGAAAATGATGAAAAAATTCTTTGTCACCACTGTTTGTCTTGGCATACGATAACAATATACCAGAAATGCTCTGATCCTCAAGGTGATTGTTACTAAGGTTTCCAGCTAAAATGACATCTTGGAACCTTGAAAATATCTCTGGTGCTTTGACTTGCAGGTTTGCACAGCCATTTACAATTTGGCAGATCTCTGCATAGTTGAAGCTTGACATATTTTGCTGCAAAATCTCTTGTTTGCACACAAGATGCAGTCGGTGATCTCTCTCTTCTATTTTCCCCAATGCCCACATCACGTTAGCTAAATGCCTGGACTCACACTTCCTCATCACATTGGCAATGTCATCCAGCAAATCAATATACGTACTGCTTTTACCATGCTTGGCAAGCTCTTTTTCACGTTCAAGGATTTGTTGTTGAGATCTATCTTTTCCAATGATTTTGGCAATGTTGAAAAGGAAGGCAACTCTGTTTACATTATTAACAGACTTCTTGACACTCTTACACAATTGAAGTTGACCTTCAACTGTCATTGTCAACATAATTTTTCTGTTAAGCTTGATTTCTGCATCAGTTGGATTACATGTATCATCCTCAAAAGCAAGAATAGAGGAGATCCGAGAGTATTTTTGTGGCACAGCTTTTATCTGATGGTATATACAACGTTTTTCTCCTGAACATGCCATGGCACTGTAAACACTCCTTGCAGTTTTGAACAGTGGAAAAGGGGGAACAGGAGCAACAAGACAGACAGCTTTTAACACTTGTGTTCTCGTCGATGCAAGCAATGGATGAACTCCTGTCTTGTAGCATCCTATAGTCAATGCTTTGTTCATTTTCTCTCACCTGAAATAGGGAAATTACCACAATGGTTAATGGTTAAACGCTGCTCGGAGAAATTGATAAGTTGAAACCTGACTACCCCTCTGAGCAGACTACAGCCTTTCAATAACTTGGTTCTTATTGAGTTGGGTATTGTACAAACCTGCAGACCCCAATTGTTTAAAAGGTAGATAGTGCTATCCACTGAACAACGCAAAATGGATTCCTTAATACTTAACCACTGGATAGCAAATTGACAATATAACCGGTGGGAAGCGCTATCCAAAGTTTGAACAACCGGGGCCTGATCAATAGTATGTATGAGCTTGCTACATGCACAAGAAATGGCGGAATGGAAATCTTACCCCATTTTTTCCTGGCAGTTGCAAACTGATGACCAATACCAGAATTATATAACCCTTCTGCCAATTCTCCTAGTGCAATAAAAACTGCTTAAGGGGTATTTATTCAAGCATTTAAGACTTCAACTTTATTCGGGCCTCGTTAGATAATCGAAAAATAGCTTAAGCTAAATATGCTTCCTTTCTTTCCTGTAGGAATTACGTAATCAACAACAAATTCTGGACTTGGATCAATCGAAATAAACATATTATAACAGCGCAACACGGCTAAAAAAGGCAAAGTAGACTGAATCAGTCATTTTTAACTACTTTCTACGTGCATTAATGACTCCCCTAACTGGTTTTAAAATTTCAAGCTACGTTTTTAACAAGTGAATAAAGGCTTTAGCAAGTGATCAAAGGCTTAATATTTTACAGCTATTGCATAAGCTTCAGTTCGACCATCATATTTACTCGTTAAATTCCTAGTTTCCTGGATTACAATGACAGCTCATTCTACTTCTAAGTATGTTCTCGTAATTTATCATGAATAGGGCAATGGCATACCTGGCAAGAGTAAAAAGGTGAAACAATAACAATGGACATATATTTTCAGTCAATGTTTTGACGCGAACCCTTCCGCTTTCCGGCCATCTTGATTTCCACGATAGCTTGGTGACGAGGCTTTTACCCAGTCCCTGCGCATTTCACCCCAGTTCCCCGCAGAGAGCAAAAAATTTTAAGAGCGTAGTACATTTTCTTTGCAATTCCGTGTTTGAGATTAAACTGAACGCATTTTCCATAGTACGATGTTTAGTAAGTTTATGATAAAAGTTACTTTCCAGTTTCCCAAATATTTTGTGAAAACAACTGATGAACCGCACTTCACAAATCTAATCGTTTAAACCGCGAAGGTTTGATGTACAGTAATTTACCCTTAGAAAACGGCAAGAGTAATATAAGTTCGCTTATTATTACAAAGGTTAAAGATTCTGAAAAGTTGGTGTCTAAGGACAAGAACAACAGTCCGCAAATCTGTAGGTTCCTTGTATTAAAATTGCGAGCTACCAAGGAAAAGAAATAATTTATTGTTCAACAATTATCCTGCTTTAAAAGTATACGCAAGCGCAAGTTACCCCCCGTGGTGGGAGTAAGCTCTCCGGGGCGCTCTGGTGGGGGAGCGAGAAAAAGAAGGAGAGCTCGCAACTACGTCTGTCGAATGTGAATGTCTGCATCGAAAAAAGTCGATGCGAAATGCTGATTGGCGGAGATGTCATTAGTAATGACGTCATTACCCTTGGCACGTGTTTTGCAATGTTTGCTTACATTCGCGCTTCTTCCCGCTTTGCGCTGATTTGCGGAAATCTAACTGTTCAGTCGACTGGGAGCCACAGGGGAATTGGAGGTGGAATTCAAGTCCAAGAGACATAGTTGCAAACTCTCCTTTCTTTTACCTCCCCCCCGCCAGAGCGCCCAGGAGAGCTTGCTCGCAGGCTACCCATGGTGGTTTCTTGATGTTGAAGACACTGAACCACACCCACACCATAACATTAACACGAATTGGGGTTGCGGTTAACTGACCACCTACCCCTCCCCTAAGTCACAATTGTGCCCTAAGAGAGAAGCAAGTGTTAATGCTGACTCAGGGGAGGGGTAGGTGGTCAGTTACCCAGAGAACCAACTATGGCTCGTAACATCAAAAAAACACCCCACCATCGTTAGGCGATGGAGAAATAATAAAGTAACTTATGTTCCACATGGGATAAAGTTATCGAGCTTTGGATTGGCTAAATACAATAAATTATTCGCAATTTGAAAGCACCAGCTTGATGTGTTTTCCGTGGGAGGATTACCCCAGTCGTTAGCGCGCTTGAATGAAGAGCGGGATGCTGCAGTTCGATTTCCGGGCCGGACCAATATTAACGGTCTTAAAAATAACTAAGAAACGAAGGTCTTTGCCCCGCAAACGGCTAGACCTTCCCGCGACTCGAATGACCGAGTAAAATGGAGGTCCCGTCTCCATTAGGAGACGTAAATATAGTGTCGTCAATTGGTGCTTTCGAGCTAAATACATTGACACTCAGTGCTTTTTTTGCTATGCTATGGATAGTCCCTGACAATTGTTACCCATTGCTTCACCCAGCGCACATTTAGTGGCAACAATTCTAGCGTTTTTCACGTTTTTAATGTTTGCATTTTTCATAAACTTTTACCCTTGAAACGTCCATTTGAAACTTCCATTTCTCAAAGTAAGTTAAAAAGAATGCTTATTAGTTCAAAGAATTATCAGCGCACCCCAAAGCCCCCACAAGATCCAGCCAACTTCTGCTGTACTTGTCTTCTAAAAATGCAGGGAAGGATTAGAAGCTGATTTGAGACCCAAGTAAACGCATTCACGAGCGGCTTTGCTAATACCAAGGAATTAACCGCTGGCTATTAGGAACGCACCCTGGCAACAGAGCAGTTTCTTTCACTTGCTCGATTTTCGCGTACTTGGGAAAGACTGCATGAATCAATTGAGACCTTTGTTGAGCATGCGCTGCATGTTGCTAGGATACAATTTTGAAGCCAGGCCTAAAAGCCGTGGGCTGTGTATTGCGGCGTAGAAGCCATTGAATTAACCAGAGTCTCGATTCTTACGGCTGCGCATGGCCATCATGTGTCATGCGCCGAATAGTTAAGAGTTCTGGGGTCGAGGGCGCATGCGCATTACGTTGGAGAAGCGCTTATGCATGATAAGGATAATATGACCACCTCCCACTTGGTTTAATAGCTCAATTGGTCCGGCACAGCGCTACAGGTTTGATAATCGGTATTTCATCGGCTCAGTTATATTCATCGGTTTATCAACAAACGGATTCTCGCAATGAAAAAGCCATTTCGACGAGAGAAAGCAAGGTTGACTAGTCCAGAAGTTCGGGCTGCGGCGACTTCAAAGGCTTTCTCCTCCTCATCAACAAGAAAACAAGAGGAGGCTGTGCTCGAAGAGTTTTATCCCGGGGGGAGGGGCTACTCCCTATGATGGCCTATACGGGGAGGCTCCGCCCGAAAGAGGTATATTTTTAGGCTTGAGGTATATGAAAGGGTAGGGATTTTACTAGTTGAAGTCTATAAAAGGGTGGGGAAATCTGTCATAAAAAGGTTAATGAATAATGAATTTTATGGCTTTATAAAGCTGCGAAAACGTTCTATTTTTGTGACTGATTTCTATTTAAAAGACAGTGCATTACAGCAGTTGAAAGGGATGCAAAGTTCTAAACAAGGTATGTGAAAGGGGTACCATTTGTCACTATAAGGTATACGAAAGGGGTACCTTTCTCGAGAAAAATGGTATATAAAAGGGTAGGGGGTTGGATCTCGGGGCGGAGCCCTACCGTATTAAAATTTGTTAAGTACCTCCCCGGGAGTTTTACGAACGGGATCTGGAAGCCAGCTGGGCCTTATTGCTTTAGCGAACTTGTCAGAACGCGATGATATAGTGTTTCTCTGGTATCGATTCAATTTTGTTCGTCATTTCGCTTAATAAGATTCATTTCTACAGCAGCTTGCAACGCCCTTTCTGCGCATTCTCGAGCCTTGGACATCTCAGGATCAGTGTCTTTGGAGAATACCATCAGAACTTCGAGGATTTCGCTTTCAATGATCTGAAATGAAACAGTCAGAATAGGCATTAAATTCGCCAGCCAGTTAGTCTAATGAGTCAGTCATTAATTAGACAGTCAGTAGTCATTCATTCAAGTCGTCCGTCGTTCAGCGGTCGGTTGTTCAGTCGGCCAGTAGTTCGGGTTGGTCGCTTGGTTGTTCGGTTGGTCGGTCGATTGTAAGGTGAGTCAGTCAATCACTTATTAGGTTACTGGAATATGCTCTTCCCACCTTAGTGGCGATTTCCTTGTTTGAAGCGATCATGTTGGCGGCAATGTGCGCTCCCCTGTAAATTACAGAAAAAAGGATAATCAAGAAGAAATTAAAGCTCGAGACTATCAACCAAGGACGCTGAGAGATTATTACCATTTCCCAAATACACATTACCTTATAAATCGGAAAAGAAAAAAAGCAGCTGTAGCGTAGATTTCCAAACAACTTAGGAGCTCAAGAGGTACCACAATTGAAAATATACTATTTAATCACGTGCTCTTAAAACCGAAACAAAGACAATAACTACTTAATTACTTAAAACATACACGAAAAATTCAATGAACTAATCCGATGTCCAAACCAGCTTCTTGGTGAAGACTTAGACGTTTTTTGGCTCGTCACGCAATCCTCTCTGACACATGGGAAAGTCGTTGCGTGACAAGCGAAGAAAATGTCTGCGAAGGAGTCTTAACCGGTTCAGCAAGTCAATTTTGAAAACCAAATTACCAACAAAAGACGATAGCATAACGTTACCTGTGTCTCAACTCTTTTTTGTCAGACACCAGCAACTGCTTTTGTATATCCATGTAAGACGAAACCTATAAAGAAAAAAAACGCAACTCGTAAGATTAATAAATACTTGGGTGCTACATGAGCTGTCCCCCTACTGAGCCTCAAATCCCATAGCAACCTGACACCATTCGCTCGTCGTGTAAAGCCATATTTTTCCCCCTCTAATGCGGTTGAACTCTATTCATGTATTTCAGTTTATTCTTTTACTTGGGAACGCTTGCGCGTGTAATACTATACGCAATATATAACCCCGGACATCTTGACAATTCACTATTTTGCGCGTCCTGCGTAAGTCCTGCGTATGCGACCATTCTCGTCACCAGAGCCTCTGGTCTCATGGCCGTGCGAGGCCCTGTGTCATGCGTAATAATCAAGAGGGGTCGAGAACTCACGTGCACGCTTTGAAGTGGAGAAGCGCTTGTAAGAAGGGTATAATATGTTTGATAATAGTACCTTAATTACTTGATTACAGACTTTCTCACTGGACGAGAGGACCGCTAATGCACCCGAGGCTGCCCTATAAGTTAAGACAGACACAAGAAATAATCAAACGAAAACAAGTTGACATGGAATGATGACAAAACAAAAGACTAAACCATCAATGGACGACTTGCCTACGTGTAGCAGTACCCTTCCCCCCGCGGCGAAAACGTAAGGGGGGGGGGGGAGGGAGGGGACAAGGTACTCGGCTCTTAAGCCCCATACAAACGAACGCCACATTGTTGGCCAACAACTCCCAACATTGTTGGATGTTACATGTTGCGTCCGTTTGCGCACCCTGTTGCATGTTGTTGGATGTGGTTGCATGTTGTTGCGCAAAGTTTGAAACCGGTCAAACTTTTAGGTACGTGCAAGCGGACGTAACAACTCCCTCAAGTGGCAAATATCTAGATGCAGATTCTCAGACTGATCTCCACACATTTAATTGACAAAAATTGACGGCATTTTTCTTCTGGCGATCATTTCAAAAATTCTCATAACCTTTTCTTTTGACTATGTATTGATATTAGGAGAAAACTTATGTTGGTCAGTCTTGAGAACTGGAGGATTAAAGGGGAAAAAAATCTCACCGTGCCAGCTGAAATTCGTCCTCTCCGGAAAGCAGCGTCATCAGCTTCACTCTCTCGGTTGGAGTATCCTCTTTTTCAAACATTTTAAACACCTGTAGTTAAGAAACCAGGTCCCAGTTGTTCGAAAGCTGGATAGCGCTACCCACCAGATATATCTCTATCCAATGGATAGCGCAATAGGTTTCCCTAATATTTATCCAATGGATAGCGATTTATTCGGTTGATAGTGCTATCCAGCTTTTGAACAACTGGGGCCTGGGAGTTAAAGAGAAAAGCGGTCTCCGATGAAAACCTGCAACATGAGTGTTCTGATTTGGCATAGATTTGTCCTAAAATAATTTTCAAAACAGAGAAATAAACGTGGCATTGAGAGCAGGCAGGTGCTGAGGAAGTGGCTAAAACTATGGAGAACATGGGATAGGAACAGAACAGTCTACGCGGAATGCAAAGAAGGGGGTCAGCATTTACCTTTTAACAAGTTTGAAGTTTTAAATTTCTTACCTCTTCACACATAACCATGTTACACATGCACTCAGTAGCAGCTCTTTTTATCAGGTCATGGTCCTCGAACATCAGGCTCTCGATCAAAGGAAAACCTTTCTCCTTCACAATATGACGTCTATAACACGCGAAAAAGAAACAGTCAAAATCGCTCTGTACAAAAGCAAGGCGCGAGGCGGAAGGGGCGGTGGCGAAACTCGCGCGAAACGCAACAAATGTGCGCCTTGTCAAACAAGTACCTACATTCTAGAACAACACAAAAATACGGCTGTTTTGCAGTTTTTCAAAACTAGTGCTTACCTATACCACGTTCTTGTCGTGAAGTGGTTTAAGAAACGGAGCGATTTTCGCATGACATTGAAAAATGGTTTTGGTAAGTGTTCGTTATTTGTTTTATCAGCCAATGGATGAAAAGATCAGAACATAGACTCTTCGTTTTCCCGCCAAAAATAAACTAATATGGAGGGGGCATTGTTCGATTGGCCAATTGTGTTGCAGTATGACGTCAAAGCAAAGTATCGATTGAATTCTAGAAAGTTCTCGGGCATGAAGTTTTTTCACCCGAGCGTTTGCTTAACCAATCGAAAGGCACGCGCGTTTGTATCCGTACGATTAACCAATCAAATCGCTCTCTTTCCGTTCGTTTGCTGTTTCTGTTTTATTTGCGCGTTTTCATTTCAAGGTCACACGAAAATCGCTCTCTATATAGAAAGAACAAAACAAACATATCTCGAACCTCATACCTGACTTCATCGTTCATCTGAGCCAAGTTTGTAAGCGCCATTAGGGATTCGAACTGTTGTAGACCCTAAAAATGCAGGACAAATAAATCAATATAGAAGGAGCCAAAAAACACCAAACATGCCAATGTGAAATAAAACAGCACCCTCGTTGTCAGTATCAAGGTTGTGTGCCTTTCCATCAAATATATGGCTAAGGTGGCTATATTTCGCTGGTTTGCTTCGGTGAGAAATTTCGTCTGGCTCCGTACTCTAAAAAATAAATTGTTAAAACCAGCAAAAGAACCTTAAGCCTTCATGACTGGCAGGAAAAGGCGAGCAGGTGCATGATTTTTCGCGAGCTTGTTCCGGTTGAACCAGTCAGTCAACAAACTAAGAAAAACTAGTGATGGATTTTACCGTGAGAAACTTTTAAAGGAAGGGAACCTTCCAGTCTAGTTGTTACGCTTGTAGTTATGTTATTAAAAGGCCTTACCGTTTTTGACGGATGAAGCAACTTGAGCAGAGGACGAATTAGGCCAAATGACTGTCAACAGAAAAAAAAAGCGAAATTTATGATCGTTTCACGAAAAACCTCAGTAATTTAATCATGCAAGTATAACGCAAAATTAAGTCATTAGTTGTCTTAAACCCAGTTTTAACAGTTTTGTCGATGATTTTATGCTGCGAAAGCAATTAACCATTACTTCCTACGATATCACTTATATTATTATTGCGCTTTACAACGTGGTTCTAACGTTTCATTGTCCTTTCAAATCCTTAAATGTGATAAAAAATACAAACAAAACAAATAAATAAATATATAAAAGTCACAGCGTTTGATTCCGGCAGTGGTGTTCTATCTCTATTTTATGTGCGGTAGTAATAATAAATAACAAAATTAATGGAATCGTCGAGCATATCACGCCGAGACTTCTCACAGTCCTCTACGTTTAGAAGTAACTGTTGACGATGGCCGACTTCTCGACTTCCCATGGTGAGCGAAAGCTGGAAAGACAGCCGGCAAATTCCCCGTCAAGAACAGGGTCGGAGGCACCTCTCACCCCTGTCCCCACAGGCGAATTGTACTCTTCAAGGAGCCCATAACACGGAGCGAGCAACTCCCATACTAGGCATATGTCACGGCGTTATCACGTAGCGGGGTATTTTTAGATACATTTCAGAGCATTTCCTCCCGCCAAATGGAAGGTCTGCCCCCTCCATGAGTACATTCGAAGCATAAGAATATGAAATCAAGATCACAATCTCACGAACTCGGCGATCAAACTCGATAATTACACGGTAAAATAGGGACTGTGAACAGCGTGGACCTAAACTAATAACAAACATTTAACAAGATAGCCCCCATCCCCTCCCCTTCACAATATTCGGATTTTTTGTGTAGGTGGTTAGTACAGCTGAATCGTTAAACGTATAATTATTCTACTAGCCTTACCCTCTGTCCAGGGAATGCCACTTCAGGATTCATGGTAATGGCAACCTTGGCCACCGCCTGAGCGGCAAAGTCTGCTCCCTTCTCTGTGTTTTGAGCGGCCAGAGACACCAGTGCCTAATGACACAAAATAATGATAATGACAATGACACCTAAGGATACCCACTTGGAACAGATTAAAACCAGTCACCCTAAAAACACAACGAGCGAGATTGGTTGACAATTTCTCAGTTTAGAAGCGATGTGCGATATTTAGAAGTGAGCAAATAATAAGTGTACAAAGAAAGAAAGACATGTTTATGAATAAAAATGGCATGAAAACACCTATTTTAGTGTAGATGTCATAGCAAACGATGAAAGAGATCAACTTGGGCAAGTGGTACAAATTGCCTTTTGCCTGAACTGTTAAAAGCTGCTTTGCTGCGGCCCTCACGAAGAAGACCTCAAAGAAATATCGTAATCATTTACTTCACACCACTTCACTAATTCAACCAAAACTTGACTAATCCCACTTTGGGTAGCCTGTGCCCCCAGATAATCCTTTATCTTTGCGTGTCTACGAGACTCTCGTTCACTCAGGATTGACCGGAGGGGAAGCCGCTTACAAATTAGTTCCCGTGTAACGAGAACCGGAAACCGCATTAGACGTGCCTCTGGCATTTAGGGTATAGATTGGCTCTGGGAGTACTACTTCAGATACCACCGCGGTCAAACGTCTAAATCGTTATTTTTGTTTTTTATTGCTGGGATTTCATTTACCAGTTAGAGAAAAATGGGCAAAGATGTATAAATCAGTTGGTCAACATAACTATCTTTCCATTTTTCTCAAAATTTTGAGCTTTTTTCACTGAAAACGCTTCGCGCCAAAAGGGAATCATGTTCAAAAATGGCGCCGATAATAACGTCAGCATCGGTTTTCAATCACTTAGAACTTTTTTAGTAAACTTTTAAAAAGTTTAGTAAACTAACAGGATGTTGGTAATACCCTAAACTTGCGACAGTGAAAGTAGCAACCTTAACTTTGAAGTATTTCGCTTAACTTTTGCAAATTTCACTCGTTTGACCGCTGTGAAACTTCAGATAGCCTTTCTCTCCCTACCCCACCCCTCGTTGTTTTTCCTGCTCACATATCTTCACGCCGTCCCCACTATCTGAATACCTGGGACAGGCCAGACTTTAGCAGTATACTTCACAAACATACGGCTTTCTAACCTTGACTCCACCTTGCTGTACTGTCATTCCTCGGTGTTCCTGTTCTTTTGTGATTCCCATGAAAACTCTAAACAAGGAAACGAAACGTGAGTTTAATGCGGAGTTGGGGGTAGAGTATATAAAGTCTAACCTGTCCTTCCGGACACCTCTCTATTACGGACAGTTCGTTTGGTCACAGAAATGCCAAAAATCATACATTCCCTACCTCTATAATACGGACACCTCTGTAAAGCGGACACTTAGTTCTGTCCCTTTCGTGCCCGTATTAAAGAGGTTTGACTGTGACTACATTGTCAAAAAGTGAAAAGCTTTGTTTCACTAACGTGAAAAACAGATTTATTCAATGAATTTTGCCTAAAATTTCACTTTGACCTAATTAAACAATGTAACGTTCCACTAGCTTCAAATACAGAGACCAAAAATTTGCAGCAACGTGTCTGTTTAGACTGGGTATTCTCATTTCGAACATGATACGGCGAGTATAACACATCGTTTAATAGTTATCTGGAGTTGTTACCTTGAAATCATCTCTCTGCTGTTATCACTCTCAGTGTTTGACAGGTTGACAAGCGCAGATATGAGGCCTTCCTGTTCACACAAAGAGAAAAAATTATTGGGTAAAACAAGTTACACCTGTTTTAGGCTTTGTCTACACGATATCAGATAGCTCTTACGCCGGCACGAAAACCATATCGGATGGCGCTTCTGTTCACACAGCAGAAGAATGGTGGTCTCGGAGCGGTTTCTATATTAAACATTACCAAGCTGCGCCGCACCGATCATGAAACTGGATCGTTACCATATCGGATACCGGGTTGCTGCGCAACTCTTCGTGATAGTGTGAACAAGTGTTAATACCAGGCCGGAGGATTTTTCGTGTCTATATGAAAAGCCATTCAGTATAGTGTAGACGTACGCCTAACTAGTTTAAAACGACACAGAAAAATCAGATCAAACAAATAACGGAAAAAAAATTCCGATAAACTGCGTGGCGCTTTAGAAAGTAAGTAAGGGAATGTTGAACAACAACAAAAAAAGAAAAATAATGAAAAGTGCCGTGTTCTGGTCTGAGATTTTCTCCAAACGTTTCGGGCCTTGCCCTTCATCAGTGGAGTTACAAAGTACGTAGGAAACGTTGCAATGTTTGCATATGCTATGCTCACGCGTCAACCAAGGGGAAACGGAGTTTAATCCGCGCGGATGACTGGTGCGAAGCTGATAAATAAGGCGCATCTCCAGGCGCTTCCGTTGCACGTTTTCCCCGCAGAGCACAATTCCGGGAACTAGAGCGTCGTGGATAGAGTGGCAAGTTGTGCTAAAATGTTCCGCGACAGGGAAACCAGGAAAGTTCTTCTCTATGCTTCGAAGATGCTCGCCAAAACGTTGTCTTAGTGTACGCCCTGTTTAATGTAGATGGAAGGGCAACGGCGACAGGAGATGCAATAAACAAAGCCAGACGTTTGGCAAGAAAACGCCTTCTTGGTGACAAAAGAACGCTGAGGGCCACAGACGATGGTGTCGCTGGAAAAGTGCTGGCAGGTGCGACAGCGAGCGTGTAAACATGGAGATGTACCCGCGAGTAAAATCTGGTTAGCTAAAATTTCAGTGCTAACTTACTTCAACAAGTTTTTTGATTCTTTTTTTCACATACTCTTCTCCGTCCTGGAAAAAAAAAACGAGAAAAAAAAGAAGGTAAATGCACCACTTCTGTAAATGTGTCCTAATGATCTAGCGAAGGCAGCCGACATTACTAACACAACGTTCGCAAGACTTTAATACTAACTCTTAGATTTTTGCATTAATCACCTTTTCAGAGAATTTCGGCAGTTTAACTTGAGCAAATTCTCCAAGTTGCTTCATTTCGTCAGGGATATCTGGTTTATCAAATGTGTTCGTTAAGTTGACCAGTGTCTGGCACACCCCATACAACAGAGTAGCATCTTTGGCCTGGCGAACAAAAACAAAAGAAAGGTAATTTGCTCTATAAGTAAAGTTATGGTAGTACAGACACTAAATAGAGAGCTTTAGATTCTGAGACGGGGACGACTACGAGTACAAGATTTTCTCAATACTGAGTACTCTTCACACGTGAACCAGCGTCATTTTGGCGGGAAAACGTGGTAGCCGTCGTTATTCTACTACGCGAGTTTTAGGGAGAATGTCGTAATGGCGGGAAAAAAGTATCAAATGTAAGAAGTTTTATCATTTTGCTATCGGGAGAGGGCTTAACCTCCTTCAGTATAAATAACCGAACTAAATTTTTTGGTGAAAAAAAGTAAAATGAAGATTTCCGGGGTATCATTTTTTTTAAACACGCACAATAACTTTAAGTTAAATCTCGTACTTGTTCTTTGGCGTCCTCAAATCTAAAGTTCTCTACTATCAAAGGAAGGTAAACATTGTCCTTAACAGGAGCCCCCCCCCCTCTTCCCACCCCCCGGGCAAAACAACTATGAATACAATCCAAAGCAGAGTGTTCAAGTTCCCTCCAATGCCTTTCCTTGACTTCATAAAAGTTTCCATAAGAGCCTAGCTACATATTTAATTCGTAAGAGTTGCCCACCTGCTCAGACGAAGCGTACATTGGTAAACTTTTAAATCAGTTTATTGCATGGCTGGCCTCGCGAGAGGGCAAGATAAAGCGAATCCTGTGTTCTGATTGGCTATCCGAGCGGCTACCCGATCGGGCATGATGGGCCCTTGTCCGCTCGGGATTTCCCGCTTTGTCCCCTTAAAAAAGATTGTGATTTGGTCACGTAAAAAATCCTTAAATAACTAAGCCCGTTCTTTCAAGATGACTGCATAACGCACCCAATTTTTTTTCTGTTATTATGGGCCTAGAAAAAATGCAGGAAAAAATAAATAAGCACCTTTGCCAACTCCAAAAGTGCTCTCAGTGCTTCTCGATCTTCGATAAAAGTTTCCTAACAAGGCAATTTATAAAAACAGTTATAATTTGTCACTTAGCAATGGTTTTTACATTTACTTCTGGAACAACAGCAAGTGGTTCGATGTGAGCCACGGGATGAATGGAACGTCTTTAGGATGATGCATTCGAAAATGTATGGGAGTGCAGAAATGGTATTTCATGCACATATATACATGTATTCTTTGCCTGTAGATTTAATGTTCATTTTTCTTACTCGATACAAATTATTTATTCCTCAGTACCTTAACGTCAGCGTCCATAGTTAGGAAAGACAACCCCTCCGCTGCCCACTTTCGCAGCTCCATCTCCTTCTTTGATTTGTTCAAAAAACTACAGAGAATAAATATATGAATAATTCAATATGACCTTTACTAAAGACTGTCAGCATCGATAAACACCAGTTTCTTTTATTCTTTTCTCTAACAGTTGTATTCGGATGTGAGGCGTGACTCCCTGTGCCATGGTAGAAAGCCGTAGGTATTGAATATTAAGGAGAATCAGCAACCACTTCGGTGACGCCAGGGAAAAGGTCACTTAAAAAGTTACTTCACGTCCTTCGTACTTGTCGGTATTACTCTACCTCGGACAAATTATCGAATATTGGTCGTTTCCCTCGCCGCCCTTATCGCTCAAGCTTCCTATTTTGTGTTGATCTTGGAAATAAATTACGACGTCATCTTCAAGGCCAATAGTATGCAGAAGATGATCGTTCTTTCAGAATAACACCACGCTCTCACCTTCGCACTGATTTGTACAACTTGAGAGTGGCCCCCTCAGCAAAGGTCTGGTCATTGACTGTCCCTCCCCCTGTGGTGCCTAACTTGCATAGACCCTAAAATAGCACACATTATCATTGAAATTATTAATTGTTTCTAAAGTTTTGATTGGTCTAGAGATCATTACGTCAGTGCAGATAACTGTCTACTGAAAACGGTCTTGAGCAATAGGTTGTTCACCACTTGGGCAAATGGTAAGCGCAATTCAAGACATCATTCCGGAATCGTGTTTACTATTTGTACAAGTCAGTTCCATTTACCAAAAAACGGCCGCGAAGGCCTGATACAAAGATAGCTTTGAAGAAATGGAACACGAATTTCCCTTTGAAACAATTCGTCCGGAAAATCAGAACTTCCTTTTCAGATGTTCCCGAAATTTTCACTGGAACGACACAAAAAGCCGTGTTCCATTAACTCTCTACCAGGTTTTTACGGAAACTTTTTGTAAATGGTAAAAAACCTAAATTTACAATAAAATGTTCTTACCACTAATGCTCGAACTCTTATACTATCATCCTTCAGATGGTACAAGTCTTTTAGAACAGGAAGGGCCTACCAACAAAAGAAAAAGTTAGTCATACTTCCAAAATAATAATCATATCTTCGCAATAATTACGATAGTGCCATAAACATGACAACATTTCTTTCAGAAACACAAGTTTACTGACGCATCTTAGTGTAAGGAATAACACGCGTGACGAACCCCTAAGAACGTCTGCGTGGGAGGCTCCGTATGCAACGAAAAAGGGCAGTTAAATCAAATATACGTGAATTTTCGCTTTTTAAAACTGCATTTTCGCTTTGAGAAACTTAACGTCGTGGTGGTGCAGAGAAAAACAAAGAAATGTATCAAAAAGTCTGTTGCCTATGCAGAGTTGTTGCTCCTTGAAAGTGTGATGCACGTGCAGAGTTGTTGTTTTGCTCATTAAGGCATTTGTTGTTTTGAGGCTTTGTTGGAGGCTTTCAAATATGCTTTACTGGGAAAAATCAGTTATAAGTGATTCTTATCAATCCATCGATACTACTCAATAATCTAACGTTTTAGTTACCCTTAAAAATTTGAACAAAACTGTTCTTAGACTCATCCTGTTTTTTGTTTTTGTTTTACCTGTGTGTTTAGCACTGTACTTAGATTCTTGTCAGAGGCTCCTAAAGCTAACGTCTCAGATGCGACAATCTGTAAAAAAGTGGAAAAAAAGTCAAAATTCCTTTTAGGCATACATGTTATAATATACAGGCTACTGAGCAACATTTATGACCAACTTAGAAAATTAGTCAAAAGAGCTCGATAGCCACATTTCCACTAAATATAAGTGCGAAACTTCCGTTCTTCGATGTGTACTGAAATCTTTGTTACACTTTCACACGGGACCGTTCAATTAATATTTTCGCTCTGTTCACAAAAAACTTTGAGTGACTAGAGGTCTAGGTTTTCGTTAAAGGTTGGGAAAAACGGGCAACAAAAAAAACGTGCAACTTCTTTTGCAACATTGCCGCAAGAGCTGAATGGCGATGTTGCACGTTTTACTACCCACATTAAACCTGTCTTGCAACAAATCAGGGCTGAGTTGCTCAAAGCATGGTTAGCTTTAACCGTTGGTTAAGCAGTATCAAAACCAATACGTTGTCAAGGTATTTAACGCTGGTTAACGCTAACCATGCTTCGAGCAACTGGGCCCAGGTTGTTAACAGGTTTAAACAAAGGTGGTAAAACGCGCAACATCGCTATTCAACTCGTTATGCAGCAATGTTGCAAATCAAGTTGCACGTTTTTTCTTGCCCGTTTTTTCGTCCCTTAAGGTTGAGGTGGATACGTGTAAACGGAAACCTACGGAACACCTAAACGCACAAATTTTCAACCGGTCGACAATTCGCACCATGTGAACATAGCCTGACGTCCTTTTAATTGGCACGGATTGAGGCAAAAAAAAAATGTGAAAAAACTTTTTGGCCAAAAGGACAACACGTTTCTTCATTTTACAAAACGAGCACTAGCCTGACCCTAAAACTTAAGGTAGATGGTGCGAAATTTAGCTCCAACTTTACTTCTGCTGGTCTTTACAAGGGTAACAGACTTTTCTTGCCTGTGTTCAAAATCGCCATAAAATCCTCGCGCAAGATAGACAGATCGTTTTCATATCGGAAAACTTTTTGTTTTTACAGTAAACAGATGACCGTGATAAGCAAAAGACATTTCACAAACATTTCTTTTTCTACAACTGTAACTGTGCCTCGTAAAGCAATTTGAAAGTACAAAATAATTATTGAACGATGGCGTAAAAACAACATTTAATAAACCTGTGACAACCGGTCTGTTCTTGTCGCAAGTGCAAGGATTTTTCCCAGGAATTCCTCTTTTCCGAGAAGGGACGAAGCTGCCTCCTGTATTCCCTATAAATAACACGAACATAAATTAAGTGTATGATAAACTTAAACGCAATATAGCAACATTCAAAACGCACTAATTGTCGGCAATGTTTTTTCGTTTTCGACTGGAGAGGAGACCTTCATTTCTACGAGGTCATCCAAATGAGATGAAGGTCGAGCCGTCTGAAGCGCGAATGGCAGTACCTTTATTTCTCATTTATTTTAAGACCCGGCTTAGCTACCCTGGCTGAGGTCTAAAGGACAGAATCATCGTAAACTAAGGGTTAAAGAAGGCTAAACACATAGGATGAGGATTAACAAAAAATACCTGAAACAAACAACACAAAGCTGTCGCTCCCTTGATGTGAGCTTCTGAACTACTTTGTGTCAGGTACTGACTAAAAGAAAAATAAGAAAGAAAGAAAGTCATTTGTAAATTTGACAGGACAAACAAATATTATCAGAAGAGAGAAATTAAAGCTAATAGTGCATTTAAATACCATAATTTTTTTTAACAACGTTAAAATGATCGTATCTTTTATGGGTGTAACACAATTCCAAGCACCCCGTCAATAAAAGACTGCAAAATATTCGGGTTTTTTTTCTCAAAATCGGTTTAGGGTAGCGTATGTACGAATAGCGTAAGAGTCTCACGCTCTCTGTTTTCAGCCTCGTTCCAGACCTTTTGTTTGACTGTTCGCTCGTACTTGAAATACGGACTGTCTTGCAGTCTACATCAATAATCGGACGTAATGAGTGATTACTTCTGAATCCAATCTAAATTTTTACCTGATAGCCGCTTGTCCATCCTCCATCAAAGGTTCTTTCTCCTTTTGGTGCCACCTATAAGGAGAAAACACAAGCTAGTAAATTACCATTTCCAATTGCGGGAAATAATTGTTGGTCTTTAAAGGGAGGGGAAAAAACCGAGAAAATAGAGATATAAGCCTCCCAAAGCAGACTTAACACCAAACGTAACCGAATATTTGGTGTCGTCTTCAGAATTCAAGCTTGCAAGTGAGTGCTCCTCTCGGGAATTGTAAAAGTTGAGGGGTCACAAGTAGACTACAAAACACACCGTATTTTTGCCCAGGTTAAGTGCGTGGGCGCGACTGGTCAAAACGACTCGGGAAAACGGAGAGTGGAACCGACTTTGTGCAAAAGATAAAGAAAACAAAAAATGATTGTTTGGTAGTCTAGGTCACAAGCGAGTGGCAAGGAAAGCAAGAAGCAATCTCACGTTGGACCTAAGACTCTTGATATTTCCAAATCGAGTGGTTGCTCACAGGCTATCAGGATTCAAACCCAGAACAAGCTAGAACACATTGTTAACAGGGGTGTGTTCAAACCCTTGCTTCCCTCACAACCCCCACTAAGATTTCTCAGCAACATGACAAGCTTCAAGAGGTGTGAGCTTTAGACGCTGATGAGTCAGACTTTATTTCTCTTTTTTATTTTTACCGGCAACGTACATGTACTAAAAACATTATTGCGGTCAGTAAGCTTACATCCAAAGCACTGTTGATATTGCCACCAATAATCCTGCTCAAAGGTGCCATACAAACAATAACAAGCCTATCAGCAGCTACACAATATCGTTAAGATCAAAACTAACCCAAAGGAGTCTACCATTTTCGCCAAGGCAACAGATATGTGCATTCTGGTGTTGTTTGATACCACAAGAGATTCATTGTCCTGTGATTTCACACCAGCTGTGGCAGCAGCGACAACCATCAGCTTACGCACTCCTGTGTAGAGAAAGAGAGAGTACAGATGCTTTTCTCTGAAGATTGCGACTCAAAGAGATGGCTAAAATTCAGGCTAGGATAATGGAGTCTTGTAAGGTTGTTCAAACTTTTAAGTCCATGAATGAAATCCGATAGGGTATTAAACTGTTCTTGTGGTGTAACCATTCAAATAAAAGCTACTGAGCAGTTAACTTTCACAAGGTACTATTAATTTTATTTAGTGTGAAGTTCTAAAGTTTGAATCTGTGGTGTGAACATTCAAATGAAACCTCTTTCCCAGTACTTTCACCTGGTAATATTTGTATTTCAGCCTTAAACAAAATAAAAGTTTGGGAATTTTGATCATGAATTTTGACTTTTGGCACTTTTGGCATGGGAGTGAAAGGTTAAAGGCCCACAACAGCTCACCTCCAAGTTTCACAAAGAGTTCTACAGCCAGTTTGTTTTTGGGAATAACTTTGATAAGAACATCAATGACAGCATCTCGACCTTCCGCACCAACCCTGGAGCAAAAATTATGACGATGGCAACAATTAATTTGAACAATACTGTGACAATGACAATGATCAACTATAAGTACGCTTTACATTGATTCCATGTATAAACAGCTACATGCATACAGTCTTCATCCTCAAAATTAAAAACAAATGGATGTTGAAGATGAAGGCGGGAGACGTGGTGAAAAAGGAAATTAGTGCATTTTAAATTCTGTAGTTAATTGGCATAATTATGAAATTTATTCAAGAACTCACTTTTCACTCATAACAGCATCCAGAATCAACATTATGAGACCTTGAACTTCCTCTTTATTCTCTGAAAGAAAGAAAAACAATTAAAATGAAGGTCAAACTTAAACTAATAATATTTGTTATTTATTTTAATAACGTCAAACTTAGATGGCACTATAATATTACTATAGTTTCGTGCAGCGGTGAGAGCACTCGCCTCCCACCCATGTGACAGTGTTCAATCCGGACATTGATGGCAAATGTGGGTTGAGTTTAATTTGTTGTTGATTCTCCCTTTTACTCTGAGAGGTTTTCTCTGGGTTCTTAGGTTTTCCCCTCTCCTCAAAAACTAACATTTCCAAATTCCAATTTGACCAGGAGTGGTTGATGAAGAACCACTATGTGGATGTGCTACCAATAAATTGTTATTTGTTTATTTATTTATTCACTCAATGACAGGATTACCTAGTTCTTTTGGTGGTTCTTGGTTTTTGTTGTCTTTTTTATTTGGAGGTTTTGGAATGAGTGAATCTAGAGCTTGCTGTGGAACCAACACAGCAGCCATTGCCAGTTCTGTCACAGGCTGAGAAAAACAAAACAAAAAACAATGATTAGATAAGACAAAGTTAACTCCCCGCTAATCTTCTCATTTATTGGACTTACTTTCAAACAGTTTTTGTGTGCCACAAGAATCAATGGTACATGTATGATCACCCAAAATTAATTCTCATAATAATATTATTAACTTTAGTACCAGAAACTTATGAGTTTCTGATAGTACTTAATTCTTCCCTCTACTTATAAAAGAAATATATGGGATAGGAAAGGAGAATTTGTACTTCAAAACTGGGGACTAACTAAGGTAATGGTCAGTTCAAGAGCAGGGGAAACATGTATTCCATCAGGTAGCTCACACACGATTGGTACTTACAGATTCAATAAGGGTTAACAGTCTTGGTAGAGTAACTTCTTTAAGCACTGAAAAAGACTGAGAAGAGAGAAAAGGTTCCCACAATTAACTTAAATACTTGGCTAGGCTGAACAATAATATTGTGTGAAACCTTCTTGAAAACTAAAAGCAATTTCACCGTGACAGTCCCACAAATAAAAGACAATGTAGTAGTATAGTATTATTACAATGCTATATATAACTTGAATGGACTTTGATTACAGACAACAATCACAATAAAGTAAAACAACAACATTACTCCACGTTTAAGCAGCTTACGTTCTACAGTCTCATTTGCAGCCAAGTTCAGAGTGCTGTCAAACAACAGGGGAAGCACTGCATGACAACACTATGTTGCAATGGACACTAAATGCCTAGTTGTAACTGATTAGGGATTCCGCCTTCATTGCAGTAAGATCAGAAAGATCTTATGATCACAAACCCAAAGGAACGAATATATCTATTACTACTATACCTACCCTCAATTTTGAGTTTGTACACAGCCCTTTCAGAACTTTCAACATCGACACTTTCTGTTCATTTGATCCACTATTCAAAAGTGAAATAACTCTGGGTAATTCACCTGTCACGAAAGAGGATGCAAAAACTCTATCATTGCCAAAAATTGTGCAAAGAAAACAATATGTGAAAATGTGGAAATGAAAGTTCTTAGGTCCCCATCCCATTCTCTCTTACTTGCCCAGTAAGAGAGAGCCCTAGGAATGAGATTGTATTCACTCCTGGGTATAAAAGGATAATATAATTGCAGTTTAGTTCATTTAAGTTTATTTGAAAATACATGTATCTTGTGCATGCTAAGCCTAACTGGCTAGAAAATTATAACATTTTGTACATCAGACCTCCTCGGAATATTCTCTGTGCTCCTGGCTCATCATTGGCCAAAATAACAAGATTCTTTACCGCCTGAAAAATAAATGTTAAATATTCACATTAACAAGAATAAATTATGGCAGCACTCCATTGCATTTTCTGTTTAAGAACTCACCACAATAATTATCACATCTTAATGTTTAGATATCAGTTTACTAATTCATCCTCAAGGCTAAAACTCTTTTCCTTGCCACTGAAGGGCAATTTACCTCTGGGAAGACTCCCCCTTCCTCTCCCCTCCCAATGGACAGGAGGAATTCCCCAAGCTATGCTGTGTGAAACTGGCACTCTTGGTACCTTTTAATCTACTAAATTGTAGCCTAGGCTTCTTTCCTTTTCCTTTAAATTTCCAAAAAAGTCTGCTGCAAAACAGTGCAATAATTTAAGTACAGTTCATGGTACATGTTACAGGTCAAATTTGATTTCATGTCAAAAGTTTTTTTTAAAAAAAAAGGTTGCTTCATAATTCTCATTGTCTTCTAGGGCTAAGAGACAAAGAAAATTGAGATTCAACCTAGATCAAATCAAGATTACCCTGAGATCAAATTTGACCAGTAATAAAAATATTATTGTACCTGTGCTTTTCTCTCTTCACTGTCTTCATTACTATAAATGGCAGTAAACATCTCATCCACAAGACCATCAGTGGTGCGAACACGGTCACCCTGTTAATACAGAAGAATGAATAATCAAAAACATTTACAGTCTCGGCTTGGATTTGAACTATGCAAACAGCAATATATTGTCAGTGACACTTTTTGACTGCAATCATTAGGCACAATATGTAATGGTTCTTTGGCAAATGCAAAAATTATTTCATGTGTTACTGTGTAGTTTTCACTTTTTTAAATTTTGAATTTGAGGACAATATATTTCCAAGCACAAGCCCCCAGGGGCTTGTGTTTGGAGGGGCAATTTATCGGAGGGTTTTTTTGTTTTATGAGTTTGGGGGGCTTATATTTAAAGGGGCTTATTTTCGGAATTTTAAGGTATCTGGATACGTGTGGAAAGAGCCTTATAGTCATGATCAGATGTTCATCATATCTGGTCTATTAGTAAGCGATACCTTTGCCTGGAGTCGAGAAGTAAGCCTTTTCAGCATCTCTTGAACAGCAGTATTCTACAAAAATAAATAAATAATAAATAAATTATCGACTAATGCCAGGAGAAAAAATCAAGTACAGTATAGGTACAAATCAGTATTTTATTAATAAAGTTATGTGTAGATGTTCACTATAATACTTTTTTCCATTTTTCACACTACAGGAATAATAAAATGAATGCTGTACTCAACCTCCTCAAGGCCTTAAGTGAAGCTGTTTTCCTTTTACCACTCTCAATACAAGACCAGACTAAATTCTGCATTCAGAGACCTTTTCTCTCAGCATTATTATTCAAAAGAACCATTCTTGGTATAAGTGAGGAATAATGTATTTTTTTGTAACCATCTGACAAGCATGAACAAAGTTCATTTTAAACTGTTTGACAAAGTTAAAAGGCCACTGAAGTTAAAAGGCACAGACTGCTATAATCCATATGATCACCATAACAACAGCATGCTATAGCTATAAGGTGTCTAACTAGAGTACAGGTATGTTACAGTTTTTGCTGGTGCTGTACGTTCATGTGTGACTGAATAAATACCTTTGGTTCAATTTGAAGCAGTGTTCTTGCATCTCGGAATGCTCCTTCAAGTTTACCAAGCTTCTCCTGTGCTTGACATTTTCTAAACAATGCTTTTGGGTCATTTGGTAAATGCTTCAATGCTAGAAAACAAGTAAAAAGAACCGCAAAAATAAATTCAACAGTGGGACATGCCTATCCCCAAAAATGCATATGCCCTTTTCAAAGATGTGCAACATCTTAGAATCATTATAGAATATTTTATTAGATTATTCAATGAATATTAATTAAAATACTTGGTTCTTACATTCAGTGGCATCATCTGCAGCCTTATCATACTTTTCCTGTGAAGTATAAATAATTTTTTTTGCAAAGTTAGAATACATGACTGAAATAACATCTACACAAATAGTTTTTTAATTTGCATTAAAAAAGGTGAAACATTGATATTCACTAACAAAATTAATCAAGTCTTGACATTGTTTCTGCCAGCAAAAAGTGCCCATTGTTTCCAGTTTCTTCAGGACCCAGAAGAAATTGAATGAAAATATGCTTAAGGATTAATTTGCCCACCTTGGGCCTTATTTTTGCTCTTGGAGGAAGACTAGGAATCATAGTTTTTGCATAAAAATCATTACACTCATGGGTACACTGGGTTTTACAATGTTAGGGCACTTAGCTTCATTTAGGTCTTTAGAGAGCACAGCTGTGACGCTTATGCAAACTTTAAAGGGCAATACAAAATTGGCAAGTAGACTAAACAGCGGGGGAGGACAGGGTCTGGGAGATGGGGGGTAACAGGGGGATAGAAGGCAGGAAAGGGAAATGCGGGAGGCAGGAGTTCTATAAGAGTGGGAAGTAGGAGAAATACACGTGGGAGGAAATTATGCAACAATACATATTATTTCACAATCAAATAAGGGAGGAAGCTAAGAAAAAGGGGCAGGAGCGGGCATACAAGGTACAGGAAGCAGGAGGCTTGGACCTCCCTGTTCCCCTGCCCCTTTTGCCCTCCCCCCCCCTCACCCCTATAATCATTATCATTTGGCTGCAGAGCAGTCAACCAAAATAGTGTTTTGACTCTAAATTGTGTTTCAGGGCAAAACATATTTCCCAGCACTTACTAGCTTCAAATAACAAGCAGCTCGATTCTTTAAAATCACTCCTCTTTCCTTCAGCTTTTCTGTATCCTTCTCATCTTGAGAAAATAGTTTTAGTGCTTGCGTATAACAAGCAGCTGCTAAGTCATACTTTCCATCTTTAAAATGCGCATTTCCCTCTGATTTAAGGTCAGCGGCACCTTTCTGGTCCTCGTCCTGATCAGTTAAGATGATAAAAATTAGAGATGAACCTGTCCCTCTTTTCTATAGAGAGTTTACTAAATCTCAAACACCAATCTTCATTAGTATAATCCTTGCACATCACTCCACAACACAGACACTTTTGCATTTTGAACAGTTCCCTTGGTCCTAGAGACACCTAACCTCATAGATTCCCTACCCTCATAATACAAACACCTCTTGGTCCCAAGGATGGACACCAAACTTCTTAAAATCCCTATCTCTGTCCATAATATAGACACCTCTGAACTATGGACAGTCCTCTGGGTCCCAAGGACACCAAACTTCACACTTACCCTCAACCTCAATGACAGATATAAAATACATGTACTGTACCAGAATAAGAACAGACATGTTTGGGAGTTCTGTTGCTCCACACAACTGCCCTCATAGGCAATTTGCATTGCCGCAGATTTCTTCCACCATGTTCATTCAAGATGGTAGCCTCTTAAACTTAGGGATTGATCTTCACATTCATACAGAAAAATAGGAGAATGTGAATAACCTAGAATTTGAAGCCCACTCATGCGAGTATCCCCCCCCCCCCCACTCCCTTCGCTGCACTATATTTCTTGACCCCAAACATGGCTGCCATGGTGACACGGGCAAACCAGCAATAAAAGCTGGCCTGACAAGTCTAGGTATTTCATATAGCTCCAATCCTAAACAGAATGAATTGGAAGTGAAGACTTAAAGGCGTCATATCTTTGATATGGTAGCTAAAGTGGCGGGGGGGGGGGGGGGGGGGGGGGGGGGAGGTGTGGTTTTTTTTTTTTTTTAAAAGTTTGCCCCCTTGGAGAAAAACAAGGGGGTGGGTTTGTTTTTTTTAAAAATCAATAAAATTTCAGAATGGTTTTTAATTCAACCTTAAAAAAAAAAGACGTGAAATTATTCTTTTATTTCTTTATGGTGAAGAGGGTCATTATATTTTAGTCTTTTTTCAAGGGGAGGATAAGCAAATTTCACGCCCATTTCAAGTTTAGGTCAACTAATTGCCTAACCCAAATTTATGATTCCCAGCCCCCCTCCCCCTCTGCTAATTTCTGACAACTCCCTAACCAGACCTCCCCCCCGTCCCCCCGCCACTTTAGCTACCAGAACAAAGATATGACGCCTTTGGGGGGGGGGGGGGGGGCAGAGGAGAGCAGTTGGTCTTACTATTCTATTAAAGATTGTCCACCTTGAGCAAATCAAGGAGTTAGGCTTGATTATTTCTAGAATCAATTACAGTTCCAGAGTGCTTATCATTCACACTTATAAGAAACAGGACTGGAAATTTACTTTCTAATTAATAAAGAAGCATTGATCTGCACGTGAAGGTTGTTGCATGCTGCACAAATCTGTTCTACTGTCACAGCAGGTGAAAGTTAAATAATACAAGAGAATTTAACCATACCTTCTCCATCTATCTTTTAGTGTATGTGTTACGTTTCTGCAGCCTCATCTCTTGGACAAATCTACTTTTCTTGACTCAAATGAACCTTTAAACTCATTGATCGGCGGAATAAATACTGTGAAGACTGATAACTCTATTGAGCCGCCAAATCTTGCGTACAGCGGCCTACTTGTTTTATTATGCGCAAAATGTTTGTTTACATCAAATCATAATGGCCGTCCGACTCGGATCATGATCGATGAATCCGATGAAAGCTTGAAGATGGATAGCCCTGTTTCTTTAAAATGCAGCAGTCCGACTTCATTTTTCGCCTCTCCATTACCTTTTACAAATGAAATTACGCGTGTTCCACTTCAAAGAATCCGATGTGGGAGACTTGACATTCGAAATGAAGAGCGATGGCTTGAGTATGAGCCAATGTCTACCCAACTTAAATTTCTCCACAAGGATAGAAAGCACTTTGACCATGAATATTGTACTTTTCTAGACTGTAAAAACATATCTGCTGCAGATATACGCGTCAGTGCAAAGTTTGGTTACCTGGACGCTATGACCGGAACACTAACTGTTGAATGCCAACAGCTGATTGATGTTGCTGGTCCACATCATAGCAAGAAACTCGTTGGCGTTTCGTCATCGCGAAGCTACGTTTTAGAGGCAACTTTTCACGTCAACTATACGGGTCAAGTCAGAGATGTTCTTCGTTCACTGCGGAATGCGAAGCAGGTGGAAACCACACCAGATGCTGAGACATCGACAGGGTGTGAGGGAACTAAAAAAGAGGGTGTTTCGTTGTCGACAGGCGAGAAGAAGACCGGTGAGAAGAAGCTTAGGGAGGGCCTCCCTGATTGGACGCCGTACATTCCGCATCGTGTGTACACGCCTTCTGTGCGAAAACTCATCGAATTAGTGATCACTCTCTACACGATCTTTTCCATTTTCTGGGCGGTATGGCAACTCTATCGGCATGTTGATTTTATACGAGCCTACATTCAACCCGTCATTGATGCCTTGAAATATCATGTGGAGCTCATGGACAAGTGTATTCAGTTTTTAAACAAGTTGTTCGAGGAGATGACAGATCAGTGGCTTGCTTATATCAAACCAGGATATGTCATCCTTTCGTCTTTTGCCTCACCCTTGATTGCTGTGGGACGTGAGGTATGGTCAGTGTGCTACAGCATTTCCCTATCTTTTGCAGTTGCATTTCAACCCCTTTACCACCTCTTTGAGCCACTCTTCAAATTAATTTATCTGCTCTTTATAAAAACACCTTACACCATCTTCCAGCCAGCTTTCTCTTTAGGAGCAAAGTGTTTTTCATTGTTTTACGATGCTGTCCTTTGCCGCATTCTTTTGGCACAGTTTAGTAATATCAAACGTTCATTTTGCTGGTTGGTTGAAATTCTTGAAAAGAGCATGAAGTTTGATCCACTCAAAGCACAGCTAATTCTCATGAGATCAACTGTCATCAACAGTGGTAAAGCTCTTAGTCTTGGCTTGGTTTATATCTTTAAAACTATTGAACGACGGGTGTGGTTAATGATTGCAAGGCCAGTTGAAGATAAGGGCGACTAATACAATTTGCATGTGTAATAGTCTGTACAGATTACAGATGGTGGACATAACTCCTCTGCCAGAACAGGCTCTTTGTGTGAAATGATGCATATCACAGTGGTACTCAAATGTGCCAATGGGCTACTATTAAAATGCCTACTTATAAATTTAATAATAATTATTATATTGGTGTTTTACAGTACTGCAGTTAAACTGCTATTTATGGACATCTCGGTAGTAAGTGTACCAGCCCTTGATTACTAACAACTCCCCTTGTCCTTAAAGTATGAAACTACATGAACTATTATGATAAGGACCCCTTTATGAAACAGACCATTGCCCACCCCCTACCTACAATACTCATTAGAAATCGTTGAAACAGACACCGTATTTCTGAATTTTCTCGCAAATTTATGATATTCACTCTTCGCACCTTTATTCTCACTGAAATGTGCCCCTCTCCTTCCCCACTGTTGAGTTACTCGTACTTTGGAGCATTAAGAGACAACTGGCATACCCAAATCAACATTGGGGAAGGGGAAACACACCCAAGTGTGTCAAGAGTTTTGACGAGTATTGTAGGTGCCTATATGTGTAAGGGTAAAGGAGCATTGGAAGGTTTAAGGTTAATACAATGGCCAAAGTGTCATTCTTGCTTCAAAAATTATTTTGTTTCCAAGCTTACCCTTCTTACAGAACCTACCTCAAAACCCTTGGGTATAGGGCTGGATCCATGATTTAATTATTGGTCCCTTTGATCTTATTATGGAGATTTGACTGTAGTGAATGCTTTGTTGATCTTGTTCAGAGCTCTGCACACTGGTTTCCAGGGTGAAACTACAGCTTGATAGTGTCTTAACCCTTTAAACCCTAAGATCAAAATTTGAATTCTCATTTGTTGCCCCTATTCATTTTCTACAGAAGTAGAAGGGAGAAGTTGATAAAATATCATGCAAATTCATCTTGTGTGATCATGTCCGTAATTCGCATGACCACTCTGTTTTACAAAGCATTGATATTACAAGGAGAAATTTCATGCTGATCACTCTTAGGGCTTAAAGGGTTAAAAAGGACAGCGTGGAAATGAATTTGTTTTTGATCTCTTGACTTGCTTGAAATTTAAGTGTTACTTGTTAGCTTTAAACTTAGGCTTAATGTTTGATATTATTTTTATGCTCATCTCCACAGAGGATGATGCTTTAAATTATTATGCAGTTTGGAAAAGACTGCTTAAGTCAATATTACTCTCTGATTATTTAAAAGCATGCCAAATGATTGTAATGTTAATGTGATAATGGGAGAAAATAGGATAATCTTTATCCTGAAAGTTGAAATTCCCCTTTGAGTTATTTATTACAAAATCACAGAGAAAGAGTTAGTATTCTATAATAAATAATATATTATGATGAGATTGTTGAAATTACATGCGGTTGAGCTACTTTATAATAACTGCTGTATAATAATTATAATTGTATAATTATTATACAATCTACAGCATGTGTATGCATGGCTATTAAAGTTATTATCAAAATATGCGTGGTTCCATATATATGCAAAATTATACCCTAACCCCGTAATAAAAACTGCAATTTGTGGCTCAATGTATCCTATAATCTATTTTTGCCTTGTAGTTAATTAATCAGGGCGAAAAATATTGTTATTGGACATTTTCCCCATCAGTCATGATTTTTTTCGTTAGTGTGACGTATAATAATTTATTATTTATCAATGTATAAAAGAAAACGATTTAGTGTGAATCATAAAGGGCTCGAAAATCATAGTGCTGCACTAAGAAATACGTACCCTCAAGCATAATTTTGAACCTGATTGCTTCTAAAGGGTTCTAAACAGCCAGTGTTCAAGAAAAGAGAAACTCCCCTCAAACATCAAGGAAAGCAAATGGACCCTTGTAGGGACGTGACCACTCTTGTACCCCTTGTGATCTCATTTCTTTTGTACTTGCATATACTGTTTGCGGAGAAATTTTAAAAAAGAAAAATATCAATTCGGGATTGAAATGATTTTTCTGACACCATGATACTTGCATTTCGTCCAAATTCGTCGCGCCCTTCCCTTTTCCTTCCGCACCCTGAATTGAAAAGACCTGGAAACGAGAAAGAAGTTTACGAAACACGAATCATACGTGACGTACTTACTAGATCAAATATGGCGGCCGTGTGTCGTGCTTTTCGGTTGTTGGGAATAACTTCTACAAATCCAAGTAAGTCTGGCCATTAATGGAATCCCTTGATCCCTTTTATACAGCAAATTTATCAGAGAAGGATTTCATCTGTACAAACTGGTGCTAAACAAAGTGAAAGTCAGCAAAATTGTTTCATGAATTTCAACACAATAATCAAAGGTTAGAATAACCATCGACAGCACTGATTGTTGATGCCTTGATCTTACCTTAGGTGCTTTAAAAAGTCTTGAATGCATTAATAGATTTCATCAGCAGCGTATCCCATCCAAGTGCTTGCATTCATCCGGTAAGACCGATTCTGTTGTTAAAATGGATCTTTTATTTAACGTTGGATAATTTAAAATCACGTTTTCGAAATAAACATTAAGCTCAAAAAAATATGTATAAAAAAATACATAATTAAGCTAGTGATCATAAGCATAACTTCGCTCACTTATAAAGACTTAAGATTAGAAATTTAGTCCAAACCATAAACAGTTGAGCCTGCACGACCTTATCAGGGACACCAGAAGGCAGACTGTGGCCAAGTGGTTAGAGTGCTGGACTTGCTATTCGGAGGCTCCGAGTAAGTCCTGCACCGACCGCTAGCTGGATTTGTTCATGGTAGCACCGAGTCCATCTCCTCGACTAGGCTTGTAAGTAGCCAGCTGTTTTGTTCTGGCCTGTTGGGATTCTGAGCCCCGTTGTGTTTGATTTTATTTGAATTATTTGTTTCAGTCATTATTTTACTCGGCCCCACTAGTATATTAGTTCTATAAATACTGCCAAAGGTAAATAAAGGAATTATTAGTATTATCACCAAATAAAAGGAACAGATCCTACCAGGGTTTTGATTAAGAACCCTAGTAGCAGGAGAAAGGTGTAATGTTAAAGGAGAATATTCTGAAAGAGGCTCTATGTCTGAATAAAAATTAGTCATAGGCTACCGAATGTTAGCTGGAGAAATCTGCGTAGTAACGGAGAATTCTCCGATCTCTGGTGCCTGGTACCTCCTATCACAGAGGTGGCCTTGTTATATGGGTAGAGTAAGTATTGTACAGGTATGTCCTTTCAGTGATGAAATTTCTGTAAAAAGAAATTCAACTGCATTTTCCCTCCTTATCTACAGGTAATCTTATCTATAAATGCCTTTGTCAATGAGTGCTTAATTTGATTTGCTTTGCTAATACTTTACTATTAGAGAAATTTGTGTGAAATTCTAAAATGATTTTGGAATTCAATGTGAATTTTTATGAATTTTTACAGCACCTATGTTAGGAGGAAGGAAAAGAAGTGAATGGAGGCAAGACAGAGTTCCTGCACATACCAGGGTTTGTTCTTATATAGTTTTATTTATTTACTTTGAAGTAAAGTAGAAGGGAATGTCATAGATAAAGAAATTTTGATCTTTATTATGTGAGGTGGTGAGACATAATTTTCAAGTGGATTAGTCTTGTATAAGGTATTGAGCGAGGAAAAATTTTCATTGATCATTGTAGGGGAAGTTGTAACATGTTATCAGTGGTACATGTATACTAAGAGTTTGATGAATTTATTTTGTTGTTGTCTTTTCAGCTCAGGCTTGATAAACCAGAAAAGATTAAAGTTAGAAAAGCATTTGGTGGACACAAAAAAATCAAAGGCATCAAAGTCAAAACTGGCCTGTACGTTTGTAATTCATTAGGTAAGGATTGTTTGTTATGGTGATTTGTTGGCACAGTTTTGGTTGATGTACACTGTTTGTTTATAGAAGGAAAGCAATGACATTTTAGCCTAGTAAAATTGTTGTTGTCCACTGTACTTTATATGCCATATCCTATTCTTTAGAACCTACAGAATTATTATAATCTAAGCCCTAAAACATGTTGTTCATGTATGTTTTACTAAAACAGCTTGTTTTAACTTGCACAGATGTAGAATTTGAGTGTCCTATTCTAAAAGTAGTACACAATACAGCAAATGACAACTTTACAAAAAATGGAGTGATGGTCAAGGGAACCATTGTTGAAGTAGATTCGAATCCTTTCAAGAACTGGTTAGTAACACTTGATTTTTGATTAATATTACTTAGTAGCACTTTCACTGTCACAAAACGTAAAAAAAAAAAAAATGTTAATTTGTTCCATATTCACTTTACTGTTCTTGCTTTGTATTCTAAGCTGTATTTTTCGTTGTTACAGGTTTACAGATAACTATAAAAAAGAAGACGACAAGCAAAATGAGGTATATAATGGGTCGGGTCTTTTGCCTTTTTCTTGTCTGTTCTTTTGAGTGTTTCAAAATGAAAATGCATAGGGGCCTTAGTTAGCTTTTTAGGGGATTGCAGTCATTTCTTTATGCATTTGTAGGTTGCACTTCTACAGTGATTGATCTTATACTTTCCCAGTCTTATGCAAAGTCTCAGGATGACCAGTATATGTAGGCCTCCCACATAGACATTCTTAGGGTTTTGTCACACATTCCTTCCCTTTGTCATGCATTCCTTTTGTTCATCATGCATTCCTCCCCTTCGTCATTCATTCTTTCCCTTCATCACACATTCCTTCCCTTTGTCACACGTTAATTCCCATTCCTTAGGTACATGGGGAAGGTACCTGGGATGAATTCCTATAAATGTCTGCATGGGATGCTATGAACAATACTGATGACTGTATGTTCCTCTCTCTGTTTGTTACTCATTTGCTAGGAAAACTCGTCACTAGAGCAGCTACTGCCTTACATGGAGACTGGAAAGCTTTATGGTAAGGACATAAATAAAAATATTATACCCAACTACCCTTTGTGAGCATCATGAGACTCAATCGTTGCATAATATTATTATTGCCCTCTTCCCAACCTTTTAGAACTCCTAACTCCTGTCCTTTCCTCTCCCAGCTCCTGTACCCTCTGCCCCCTATTTTCCTGAGCTTCCACCCTCTGACTTTCCCCACCTCTTTCAACCTTTTTGCCTGTCTGTTACATTATCTCAGGAAAAAGTGCCTACACACGCAGTTATGTCTTCCACGAGGCTAAAATCCACAGCTAATACATGGTGAAAAAGGCTCATTGTAACTGCAGTTAGCAACTTACATGTAGTCTTCCCTGCCTGTCTTGCAGCTAAGATAACTACGCGGCCAGGTCAAGTTGGTGCCTGCAATGGTTACATCCTGGAAGGGGATGAGTTAGAAACTTTGTTAAATACATGTCAAGATTTAAGATTATCGATGGAAAGGAAAGCGGAAAAGCAGTAGTCAAACAAGAACTTCTTCATTGACTAACGTGGACAGCACCTTTTATGATTTGCCTTACTGATACAAGGACAGAATGATCCAACTCCAGAAACTCTGTAAATATCAGCCTTTGATCAAATAAAAAAGGATGCTATTTCAGGCTATGTTTTTTGGTTACATGATGTGAATGACTAATCTTTCATAGCCTTTAAGACAGAACTGCTTAACTTTTAAAGTCAGAAAACAACTGTAAATTTTGCACCTTTGATGTGCACAAAACAGATACAGTCAAATCTCTTTAATACGGACACCAAAGGGACAGAACCAATTGTCTGCTTTACAGAGGTGTCCGTATTATAGAGGTGGGGAATGTAGCATTTTTGCTGATTTCTGGGACCAAACGAACTGTCCGTAATAGAGAGGTGTCTGTATTATAGAGGTGTCCGTAAGGAGAGGTTAGACTGTATCTTTTTTGGGCAACCAACTCGGGAATTCGTAAAAATATTGGCAACTAAAGCTGGTCATTTACGAGAATATTCTCTTGTCAGTGACCATTAAGGACGGTCGCTTTGGACCAAGAGCCTTAAAGACAGTGATTAAGACACGTGAGGGAATACTTAGGGAACAAAACTGGAACTGAGCGGAGACCACTTTGGCACATTAACCAACTCTAATAATTTATCTTGCGTTGGGGCTGGGATTGTATCTAACAATCACGTGGTCCTTCTTCTCTTTTGGTTTGGGAGACTATTTGCTTTTTCTCTCTTTCTTTTTTTAAATCCCTTTGCCCATCACCAACTCTCACACCTACCTTTCCAACCCCAGCCCCCCCCCGCCCCCAAAAAAAGGGGATGGTGAAGGGCTGGTCATGGGTTACCCAAAACTGTAGTTTTTCTGCATGTCTCATTCTTCCCATCACTTTATCTTGGGGGGAGGGGTGGGGGAGCTGTCAAGTTTTTCAAGAATGGATAATTTGGATAATGGAAGTAGATTCTCTCAAACCACCTGAAAAGAGACCATGGTCAGCTTGTCTTCTGATGAAACAACTACCAGAATGCATCATACGAGGGGTTGTTAAGGGCACTACCATAATGACAAGCTATTTGCTCTCTTTTTAAAAAGAGAAAACAAGTCTTCCCATTAACTGAATTCAAAAAATAATGGTCCAGTTTTGTTATTTAAGACCATATTTAGGCTTTGGAACTGTTTCCTGTCGCCTGCTGCTACGGATTGCAAGGATAGACATGGATTGTTTTTATGGTATGCCAGCAAAAATCGCCAAAAAATTCTTACAGTTAAGAGTTCCCTGTTGAGATTTGTTTGATATCTTCTTCATAACTCTACAGGAACATTTTTGTATGGCTAAAGGCACTAAGTAAGGACTTCAGCACAAAAGTGATCTCAAACAGTGATATCCTCGTGAAATGGCCGCTTTAATTTGGCACCTACAACCACATTATGTCGAGGCATCTATAAAGTGTTTTCACTCACGTGGCCAACATCTATGCAAATTTATTGGAACAAAAGAAAGCGTTTGCAACTCCCAGAGGACTGGTTTGGGACACAAACATGGCCGCCGTTTCATTGTTTTGGGACATAAATATGGCCGCCGTGACGTCATGTGAAGGCACTCTATATTTTCCTTTGTTTCAAACTCATCATCATGCACCTATACCACACCCATCAACAAAGGTAAATAAAATTTAAACCATGGAAAAAGTTAAACCGCGACACATACAAGAAATATTTTCCCCTTGACCTTGCCAATGAAGGAATTACGTGCGGTGTTTCCTAACGCTATGGGAACGAAAAAAAAAAAAGAAATAAAAAAAAGAAGACTACAATTATCTCTTATAACAATTTTACTCGGTACAAACTCCATAAACTCAGCAGTTCTCAGTTCATTAGAAAATCGACTACCAGAAATATTTTGCAAAAACTGACAACATGTTTTCGTCAATAATTATTATAATTATTACAATGTAATAAATTCTTCAACGTGTCTCTTGGAGTGATTTTAATTACCATGAAACAATATCTAACAATCAGTGCCAGATAATTCCAAGTAAACAAAAGAAGACACTGAAATTAGAGTGTAACACTGTGTACTAGTCAAATACGTATCAATTTCACGGCTTCAATAAAATCACTCTAATCAACGTTCAGAACGTTATACAGTACACTCTATTAATTTCATTTCTTAAGCCATATATTAATATAGTTCTGTAGGAAAGGTAACATTAGTCTTAAATTGATAGTCTGTTTGTAAAAAAACTCAAGTTAAGTTAACTATGCATAAAAGAAAATATTCTTCTTTCGATCCAAAATTCATGAAGTTCTAAATAGTATCCAAAATATTTTCCCTACGGGAGTGATTTTTTTGTCGTTGTAGTTTTGTTCTAATTTCTTTGTTCGTGTCAGGAAAGGCGAAGACGAAGCTCAGGCTAAATACAAACCTATCCACCGGTTAAACTTTAAACCGGGGATGAAAATGTGGTAAAGAAGGTCAAAATGTACTGTTGTCCAAGTTTTACGTACAAAGCCTGAGATGAATTCGGTCAAAAGACGCAACGAACCGTTTACTCAATAGACCGCCTGAACGAGAGGCGACCCACACCTTAAACTCTAATGAGGAAATAACTAGTAGCCTGCTACAGACGAAATGATATATTAGGGAGCTTAAGTCCCAATGACGGCAATGGTAACGAGAACGTCAAAAAAGGCAATAGGTTTGGATTAGTAAAACAACAACTTCGCACGTGCATCACGCATTTTTGTTCATATCACACGAGAAAGCAATTTCCTTCTTCCTTCCTAAACTTAGATACAGTCCTACAGAATCAACTCAGCATTTGACAAATTGAATGAAATGGAATAAGAGCCATGAAGTTTGAAACAGTACGAATTCACTTTTAAAGTGACGTTTTCGTTGCCGTTGTTGTCGTGGTTGCTCCCTATTGATACAATAAGCGAACTTTAATTGAAGGAACAACGCTATGAAATATGCATATCCTAGTTCCGGTCAAAAAACGAGATGTTGTACAAACGGGAACAGTGAGCGATGTTTATCAGGTCGTCTATAGATGTAACATCAAAAGTAAATATGAGATTCGCTTACAAATAAAGCAAGCGACTTAAGAAAATGAAGAAGCGCACATACTTATCTAATAACGTTACTCCTCTAAAAGTAAAGCAAACAACCTGAGCTTGTTGTCATATTCTTAACATTCAAAGGCCTTTTAACAATTAACGGTCGTGAAAAGGAAACCAAATTTGTCTTCCAACTACCAAAACCGAGTCCAGAGTTAAAACTCGTTTGACACGGCTACGGTCTCTTAACGATAAGTGGATGCTCTTGGCGATTTCCTAGCCACAAATTACCATGAAATTACCGCGTGTTCATACGCGCGATTTGAATTCGCGCCTAATGTCCCCAAAAAACTGGGTAACAGAGTTCAGTTGTATGTTTTAATAACTGAGACAATGCATCGTCTACAGATGGCACAAACGCGTTCATCCAGTCGCATCTGTAACGCACACTGATAACAGAACCTATGGCCACAAACCAGGGTAGCATCCTTTGGCCTGTCCATACAGATGTCACAAGGACTGTCTTGTACCTGCTGTGGGATGGATTCTCTGGGCGACGTTGAGTCCTGTTCTGTTATAACTGCGCTCGTCGGCAGCCGCGAATTAAACTCCTCCAGCTCAAGAACTTTCGTTTGGTGACGAGAGTCTATAAACGACCTTTGATTTTCTTCGTCGTCATTATTATCTGGGTCTTGATCGTAGTAACTGTCTTCGTTGTAATCATAGTCCTCTTCTGCATAGTAAGAATAATCATCGTATTCTTCCGGTTCCATCTGCATGTACTCATCAGCTTGCAGTTCCTGAGCTATGGCCGCGTCGCTCACAGTCTGCAAGTTACTGGTTTCACTGTTTTGCTCCTTAAGGATCCAGGGTCCTTTCTGAGTGCTCCACGCCTTAGGTCCACTTGCAGGGGCCCTGCTGGGTACCTTACCCTGCCCTTTCACAGGCGACCCAAGAGATGGCCAAGCCTCTTCATAACTTGTCTTCGGCACAGGAACCTTACTCGTTTCGCGGTCTCTCTGTGAGCTAACAAGCACGTTAGCAAACGATATCTTATTTACCTCTGTTTTACTTTCAGCTAGGAGCACTGCTTCGTTAAAAAACTCCTTTGGTTCGGGACTTTTTCCAAGAACAGCTGCGTAAGAATTTGGATCCGGCTTTTGTTTCTCCGGACGAGATTCAGAGCTCTCTTTCTTTCGCGGTGGTCGCTCGAGGTATCGATAAGAAGGATGGCGAAGATGACAGTTGTCCCCTCGATGGCAAACGCCCCAGACCATAAACGTAGGGCATATATTATCACTCCATTCCTTTAGCTCGGCTTTCCGTTTTTCCTCTTCCGCAAGTTCTTTCATTTCCTGCTCACGTTCCTTCTTTTCCATTTTTCTTCGCCACTTACTTCCGAATATACCTCCTACCAGCGACTTATTTGCGCCTCTGATTTCTTCAGGTCGCCAGTTTTTATCGCGGTAACTAATATGTTCCAGTGGTCTATCTGGAACAATCACGGGGTATTTGGGGTTTAATAACCTCTCGCGCACAGCCGGGTCGATCTTAAATTGGCTCTGTAGACTTTCCGAAGATGTTTCTTGTCCGCCATTCGTGTCTGTCGCCTCTGCTACGTGCGGTTCGTCCATAGTTGAAGCAATCTCGAAGACTTCGTCATCTGCAGTTGGATTCATCACTGCGTCATAAACAGCTGCCAAAAAAGATAAAATCGTTGGTACAGCGATAATGCAAAATTGTGTTTCTCTGACAAGCGCTTTCGAGAGAAGCTACGATTTAAGCCTCCTTACCCCGATGTGTCAATGGGAAAGATCACCTGATATAACAATCACAACTTCTAAAACAGATCCCTGCTTACATACACTTTCCTTTACAAGACGTACTAAAACAGCTGCGTTGGTAAAAAGAAAAGTCCGTGCCCGGACAAGTTACCCATATCATGAAGTCATTCGGAATGCGCTTTGGAAAAATAAAACGCACAAGGCCCTTTTACCTTTTAGTTTGTGGGCGCGATCCATTCAACCAAACTTTCCGGAAATTTCGGTCCAAAACTCAATGGATCGGTTCGGTCCAACCGGAAAAGTTTCGAAAAAACGGGGCCACCTTTTGAGGTGGACCACTTTTCCCGGTCGGACCGGTTGGAATTTTGGTTGAATGGATCGCGCCCTGTGTTTCTGGCTCAATCAACTGCGAAGAGAGTACAAAATGCAAGTTTTCTAAGCCTTTATCACCCTTTTTACAGCCGGCTTATTCTTTATCTTTCTGTCCAAATTCAAAGCCAAAATAAATCAAAACAAAAAATGAACACAATGAGACGATCAATTTTTTTTTTACAGTCAAGCCAGGTCAAGTGTACCCCCATGACTCCATTAATGTATTTATCATTCGAAAGTTAAATCCGTTGGTAGTTTTGGATTTCAGACTCATCTCTGTATTCTTGCATGCGAAATGAGCCGTGAATTCACATGCGAAGCAGTTATCAGGGTCGGCCGGGGGAGGGGGGGGAGGGGAGTGGAATACCAAAATACCAATAAACCTTCCAATATACCAAAAATTATACTAAAACTCGTGTAAAATACCAAAATTAAGAAAACCACGGTATACTTTATATCCAAAATTAGTTGTGAGTGAATACTTTATACCCAAATTTACGCATAAAATACTGTAAACTTAAAAACCCTGGCCGACCCCGAGTTATGAAATTTCTACCAGCTCAGTTTCCCTGAATTTGATGTAAATGTCTTCGAAGCAATTTTATCCCTTCTAAGATTTTCAATCTGACCAAATACGGAGAGGTTCTCGGGTGTTACGAAAACTCAGACCTCGAAAACACAGACCTCAGACCTCAAAAAACTCAGACCCCCTGGGTGTCTCGAAAACTCAGATCCCCGAAAACTCAATTTTTTTAAATTCTTATATCGATACTATTGACTACCTTTACTTTTAACTAACTATATATCAGAGCGCAAAAAGGGGAATTGGGTGATACGACTTGCGCCATGTCACGATATAGTTTAAATACCATTGAAATGAACAAACGACTCAGCTGTTTCCAAATATCGATATGATCAGGGATGATATCACAGAGCGATTCAGGTTGACTATGACACTACCCCTTCCTTCAGGGAACGACCGGTTGGCTTAAATCGTTACAGAAGTTGTTACGGCTTACCTGTGGACGTTTCCGTTGAGAACCCAACTTTCACTCGTGTGTATTCATCTGCGCATTCAGACTCGACGTGATCTTTGTTATCAGATTCAGAACGTCTACGGTTTACTAGAGGTTTGCTTCTTCCAGGTTCAGTCTCAGTGGTGTTATCGTAGGATCTGCGCCTTCTTCTGTTGTCGGGTCGACGTCGGGGATTTTCCGGATTCTCGCCCTCTATAGGATCACTCTCCGAGGTGCGGCCGAAAGATCTTCGTCTTCTTCGGTTGTTAGGTCGATGTCGGAAGTTTTCATGAATCTCTCCCTGGGAAAGTTCATTCTCCGAGGTGCGGTTGAACGATCTTCGCCCTCTTTGGTCGTCGGGCTGATGTCGGGAATTTTCTAGAATCTCGCCCTGTACAGGATCACTTTCCGAGGTGCAATCGGAAGATTTTCGCCTTCTTCGGTTTTCAGATCGATGTTGGGGATTTTCTGGAATCTCACCTTGAATATAATCACTCTCTGAAGTGCGATCGGAAGATCCTCGTCTTCGTTGATGATCCGCAGGATGTTGATGTTTCCTGAACGAGCCATTCACCCTTGAATCGTTTTCCGAGTAATGATTGGAAGGCCTCTGTCTTCGTAGCTTCTCAATTTGGTAATTTCGGCGATTTTTCAAAAACTCACTTCCTGTAGTGTCACTGTCTGAAGCCTTTCGTCTTCTTTGATCTTCGTCACAGTCTCGGTTTGTTTCCGGAACTTCAATCCCTCGAGAATGGTTTTCCGAGAAGCCACCAAGAGATCTTCGTCTTCTTTGATGGTCCATCGGCTGCTTTTTGTTAAACGGATCATTTATTCTTGAAACATTCTCTGTGGGATAATCGGAAGACCCTCGTGTTTTTTGGTCTTCGGTCTGGCAATCTCGCTGACATCCCGGAAGTTCAATTCCGGTAGCATCATTGTCCGAAGACGTTTTTCTTCTCTCACCCTCGTCTTGGCACTCTCGATAATTTCCCGGACGCTCAATCACTCTCTGATCGTATTCCGAGACGGCATCGACGGATCTTCGTCGTATTCTTTTCCCGTTCGCACAAAATCGATAATTTTGGTGAGACTCACTCTCTCTACGATCTCCTTTTGAGGTACTGTCGGAAGATCTCCGCCTTCTTTGGCTCTGGTTTGGGCGACAATCATTTTCCGTTAGCTTACCCTGGCGTGGAGCCGTCCCCAAGCTATGATCAAAAGGTACTGCTTGCCTTGTTTGGTTAATATTAGACAAATGCTGTTGACTTTTCTCTGCGTTACGATCGAATGATTTTCGCCTTGCAGGCGTGCCCTTTGTCTTGTTATGAGTGTTTGCACTAGCCGAGCTCTGATGTCCTTCAGATGACCCACCACAACAGGTGCGCCCTTTATTTCCGCTCTTACTGGGTACCGCTCGGCCAGTCACGTTACAATCAGTCACGTGACTATCAGCGACGTAATTAGTATCCGTCTGTATCTGCTTACTACACGGTGTGCAATCATAGCCTGCGTTACTATCCTCAATTCTAGTGGGATCAATTATCCTCTCGCCTTCAGAGCCTAGGTTAGGGTTCCGAGGGCTGTTAACTTCTCGAGGTTTCTTTTTTTCACAATCGGCGACCTGGTCAAGCACTAAACAGACCGCATTCTTGAAAGGTTTTCTCGGGCCTTCGCCAACGCTCTTGACCTCCTTTAGCTCTTTTACAACCCAGGAATCGTCGCGATTTTTACTTTTGTCTGTAGCACTCTTTAAAGCTACCTCTTTCTTGCATGCCTTTTTATACTTACTTTCATGTCTTCCTAACAACTCACAACTTTTGGCGTCGTCACTTCCCAAAGCCTTACCACCATTTCTACCAACAAATTCGTCGCGTTTCTCATCGACTTTGACGCCATTAACAGAAACTGTTGCACAGGAACTCTCACTGGATTTTGCAGCAACGTGTTCAGCTTTCTTCCTTCCATCTGCAACACCGTTAACTGCGGCAGTTTTGTCAGCATTACCACTAACGTCTCCAGTTTTACATGCATCCCTTTTCAGTATTTTTATCACGACTAACTTCTCGTCTTTGCCTTGTGTAGCACTTTTCTCCCTCGCCTTATGTCCGCCCTTCGGTTCTTGGTCATCAGAATTTTCTGTTCTACCCTTTTTCTTCCGTCTGCGACGTTTCTTGGCAACATATTCAGCTGTATCCGTTATGTTCTCGGGAGAAATGGTCTTTTTAGTATTCGCATGTTCACGTCCAACGGCCACTTAGAAATGAAAAAGCAGACGGCGGTTGCGTTAATTGTTAACGTGTAAACCAAGCATACAGTCTTAAACTAGCAAAAATTATTAATTTTTGGTTAAAGTTAGATTGTACACAATCGCCTCTATTTTCAGAAAGGCGCAGGCACGGATGGAGATACAGAGAAACTTTGTTATCCATAGAGCACCTAATGGAACATGTCCCGAGTGTAAAAAAAGAACTTTCTCTTGCCTTTGGTATTTAGACTACGAGTAGTAGTAGCGGATGGCTTAGTTTAGCTTAGTTTAGCTTAGTTTTTCATCCCTGAAAGCTCCTCCTAAAGGATGGCTTTCACTAGCGACGGAGTCGGAGTCGTAACCGGAGTCGCTTTTTTATAGCGCTTGTGACCTAGTGAAAATCCAAAATCGAAGTCATAAGCCCAGTCATAGGTGCGACGGAATCAGAAGAATCACGAACGTTCCCTTTTTTCTCCGACTCCGCTTACGACTCCGTCGCTTACGTTCCGCTTTATGATCAAGTGAAAACCAGATTGTCGGAGTCGGAAGCGGGAGCGGAAGGATAAATCACAATGCACGTTCCCACGCTTTGTGATTGCTTTGGTTTACGAATTTAAATAAAAAATGAAAGTTGAAAGTTTAGTAACTGTTCCGCTTCTGCTTGCGACTCCGACAACGCTGTTTTCACAAGATCGTAAAGTTTTACGCTTCTGAATACGACTCCGACTCCGATTCCGTCGCTAGTGAAAATCAGCCTTAAATCGCGCATAGTGGCAGATCTGGACTGCTCAGAATAACTCCTCAGAAAATATAATTAGAAACAAATAACCCAAAGCAAAACCCCAATACGCAATAGAGGGATATCTGTAGGCTTTCTATCTCTTCTGGCATCTGCGAGCAAACATGTGGAAGGCCAACCAGTTGGACATTTACATTACTACGACCAAAAAGTTGAACTCTGAACTACGACATAGTAAATCATAACAGCAGGATAAGGATGTTTGTAGTTAATTGTCTTGCTTTATCACTTCTCAAACTTTGCACTGGTCAATTGAGTTTCTTCTCCATTTGGACAGTATTAAGCTACTCTATCTCCATGTCATAGAAAATTATTTTAATAAGGTCCCGTCGCCCACTCCCTTAACACCCAGCCTGCTTTGAATAAGCTCCCACTTGCTTGGTTAAAAATGTTTATAAAAACTTTGTATCTTTGGACAAAAAACAAAAAGAAAGAAAGAATGAGTAACTAGAGTGTTACAACTGCTTCACCAACAAGTCCAAAAATTTAATATGCAATGCTCTTTTGGGTAAATATGATCTTGGTGCTAAGGAAAAATAATTAATAATTGATGATAATTTTCCCTGGCTCCTGAGGTGTATACTTACCCCTGGGAGAGCCAAAATGTTTTCCATGCACTTGATGACAGGTATACATGAGTAACAGAGGGACAACAAGGATCACAATACACTTTGCAATGGACAATGTACCAACAAAGAATTCAAGAGCTTGACTCACATGACCACTGAAAAGATATTCAAGAAAAAATTTTTAAATTATGAAGATGTTCTTGCAAAATGAAATCAAAGAGTCTGACTGGAAGAAATAGCAAGAAAATTACTTGTTGAGAGAAAATTTCTATCTAAAGGTATTAAGTAGCTTGTTGGTGATGTTCCTGAATATTGATTGTTTAAATGATAAACTACAGTAAGTTTTTTTTGCATTGAGGAAACGTCAACTCAACTCATACCAGATGGATAACATCGAAACAAGAGGTTGTTAATTATTCACGCAGTACAATGAACTGAATATTGTCATTCTATACAGTCGGCTCTCTTTTAACGAACACCTCTATAAGACGGACACCTCTGTAAAATGGACACCTAGAGTTGGTCCCTGCCATTGCTTACTCCCTTTATTTGACTTTTTATAAGACGGACACCTCTCTAAGACGGACACTTAGTGCCAGTCCCGAAGGTGTCCATCTTGGAGAGAGCTGACTGTATAACAATATCACTGACCACCCTAGCCTCAATAGTACTTTTTCCCACTGAACAAAATTGCATAGTGGTTTTGATGTTTTCATGAAATAAAAACGCATCGCTTGTGACACTATTTTAAACCTGCCCGTGTTGTAAGTTGTAAGTTGTAAACACAACTTATATATTGTAATCACTTTATTATGCAATATTAAAGTATTTCAATCTACATCTCTAATACTGAAGAGGCCCCAATAGCTAAAGTAGGAAAAAATCTTCTCTTTTTTTCTGAGACAAACTATTAAAAAATGTATACAGGGTTTCACTTAAGGCTGGGACATGGGTAGCGGCAACAGTGTGCTCTGAGAACAGTACCAGCCTTCAAGCAAAATGGTGAATTTTACACTCTCAAACCAAACTTTCCAACTTTCCCGCCAACTCAACCATGGGCTCCTTTCTACCTTAAAAAGTAATGATAACCCTGAAGATAATGATAACAGGCTACCATAAAAGACACGGCTGTACACTTAGGAAAATTCCCAAGGGGGGTACTCCAGATTTCAAGTGACAGGTATGATTGAAGGATTTGGGGGGGGGGGGGGGGG